CATTGTGTATAACTCCATTATTAATCAAGCTAAACCTAATAATTTTGTTATTTGGAAGAGAAGAGCAGAAAGTTTTTTTTTCCACAAAGACAAAGTTTATAAGTACTATTCATAAGTATTAACTTTGACTTCAATACAAAAATTTAGATATTTTACAGTCTCAAAAAAAAAAAGATCACGGAACATTTCTTTTTTTTTTATTACACTGATTTCTTCCGATTGAAATCGATTAAGGAAGTTCATTATTAATTTTAATTTTTAAATACTAGTTCTCTTTCTATATAAGTTAATTTATTTGGTAAAATTAAAGATATAAATATATAGCAAATGTCGTAAAGTATATAATAAGATTATGAAATATTCAAGTCAATCATGCTCGGTCGTACACGGCCGTATACCAACCAATTACGATGGATAATGGCAGTTGTTTGCGATAGCCATTTACAGCCATCGTAAATGGTGCTTTACGGTGTGTATTACAACCATCTTAAACAATAATCGTAAAAATTGGCCCTTAACGACTAGCGTAACAATACGGCGATCATATACGCTGATCAAATAAGATATTGTAAGGTATCGTATACGTCCGCTGTTTCCAGTAACTGCTTACAGCAATCGTAAACGATGGTTTACGGGGTACTACAGCCCTCTGAAGCTATTAGCGTGAACTTTCGTCGTTTACAGTTACCCTAATAATACGGTGACCGTAAACGATGCTTGGATAATATGATAAGGCATAGTATACGTCAAACGTTTAATAAACGTTCATCGTTTCCTATCGTACCTTGCTGTAAGCCATCAGTAGTGTTACGAGGTGTCTCTTGAGATTTAGAATTAATATTTAACAATACCCGTATTGCTGCTTTTGCATGATCATTGTCCATCAGAACTTGTGCTTCCACATTATTAGCTTTAACTTTATTTAATGTTGACTTATTTGACATAAGTTAGCATTATTTTTAATACCACCAAATGCACACATCCAGATTGTTACAGCATAACTTAGCACGCAACTTGTACGATTCCAGGTGATGGCTCTAGCATCCCATATAATCCTTCTAGCATTCCAGATAGAGCTTCCAGCATCTCAGATAATGCCTCTAACATCTCGGTTAATGCTTTCAGCATTCCAGATAGATATGGGTGTGGATGTGGATCATATATTTAGCTACACTCACCCAAACCCCACAAACTATACACTAATTTAACAACACAACACATCACCAATTCATTTCGATTCATCAAGGACACGTACAGTTTTAAGATCTTGAAACTGTTTATATTGTTCTGTCCTCACACATGCCAAATGATATATGATGAAAACATTCTTTTTATGTTCTTTGTACACGGTGCACACTTTAGATTGCATATCGAATACGGCAACGTGTGAACAAAGGATGATGCACCTATATGCTTCTTTCAACACTTGAAGAAATGTTATCTATTATCTTCATCGTTGGATATCTCTTTGAAAACAATTTTTTTTCTTCTAATGTTTGCACAAGGGGCTTATCTTTGTCCTGCGAGAGTTCATGATACTCATGGATCTCATAAAAACGTGATAAAAAAGTTAAACTTTTTTATCATTCGAACAGGCATGTGAAAAAAGAAGAGATAAAATAATCGATGGACACCTAGTCAACGAACTGGAAGATTCATAGTCCATAATGTTATATATCACTTTTTATGATGAAAGTAAAACAATATCATGATATCGAGATCTAGTTAACGAACAAATAAACGGTTTTCTTTGAATCTCAGAGATTTGCTGCAAATGTTTATTCTGCTCTTAGAATAGATGCAACATGGTATCCCAAATATAAGAATGCAACTTCGAAACGGTGAGTAATTCGAACACTTACTGTAGAAAGATAGACATAATTATGTAAAATAATTCGATTGAATTGAATTGATATACTGAAAAAAAAAAGAAAACAAGGTAAAATCTATCTTCAATTCTAGTTTTTATTTAGAGCATTTACATGAGATTGAAGTATCTCAAAAATTTTAGTATTCTAAAATGAAATAGAATAAATCAAATGTTTTAGATTTTCTCTGATCTGTTAAAGTTTTCATTTTCAGTTCAATAGTTTTAGATATATTAGCGATAAGAACGAAGATATTTTGCAAATGACAGTCACTTTTGAAGTTCCTGTACGTAACGCTCATGCTATATCATCTGGCCGTGAGATTTGTCGAGCAATTAAACAAAGTGATGCTGCATTAAGACAAGCATATCCTTTTTTATATCATCAAGATTGGATCTGTACAATAATATTCACAAGTTCATTATTATTAATGTCATTATTTTCATATCTTTATTTATCGGGATATATTTCTGCAATCTTAACGATTGTATTGATAGCATTACCATTATCTTTATTACATGAATTAGAACATGATATTATTCATAATTTATATTTTAAACAACATAGATGGATTCAAAATTTAATGTTTACATTTATTTGGATTGCTAAATTACATGGTTCACCTTGGTATCGTCGTCAATTACATTTAAAACATCATCTTTTATCTGGTCAACTAAATGATGCCGAAGAAAGAATAATTGGATTAGGTTTACCACCAGATTACAAACGAATGGCTGTTAGTATACATCCATTTGGTGGACTCTTGGTTAGTGATGATATTAGTAAAGATGCAAAATATCTTAATTTAACTACTATGAAACTTCATAATGCACCAATGGCACTTATATTTATGTTTATTACTCGAACATTTTTTATTTACAATTTCTTATTCTTTATTTATTTCTATTTGAATTATGATATCAATACATTATATGGTATTCATACATTTTATCCAATTATTCATAATTTAGCAATTTGTTTATGTTTTCCAAATTTATTAAGACAAGGTTGTTTAGTTTTAATGTCTAATGCTTGCCATTATTATGATGATATACCATTAAATACTGTGTATTATCAAAATCAAATATTAGACTCATGGTATGTTTTACCATTTCAATTATTTTGTTTTAATTTTGCTGCAACACATATTATACATCATCATGTTGTTTCACAACCTTTTTATATTCGACATTTTACGGCTAGACAAGTAAAAGATATTATGATTAAATTAGGTATACGTAATAATGATTTTGGTATATTATGGAGAAATAATCATTATACTATCGATCCAGAAGAAGATGAAAAACAAAAATTATATGGTAAATATTGGTTTGCTGCATGTTTATTATTAGGATTTCCTTTATATATATTATGGGATATGATGGTTATGCATAAATCAAATAAAAATATATTTAAATTAATTAGAAAAAAATTATTTAAGAAAAATATAAAAAAACTTGATAATAATATTAATAATGAATTAACAACTAATAAGAAAATAATTGATATCAATGGTACAGTAATAGGTTCTGATGTCAAACAATTTAATACATTAGTTAATCGAATGGCATTATTCGATGTGTCAGCAGATCAAGTCGAAGAAGTTAGTGCAGCAGTCGTTGAAGCTCAATGAAAACCATTGAATAAAATAAACAATCATTTTTTTTTTCACTTTTGCTTCTTTGATTTATTAAAAGATAATCCTTCGGTACTTAGATTCAAACTGTTTTTTTTTAAATGTCACCGTATTTACATAATTTTCTTATCCTATCCTGTTATTTAACACTTATAACGTGTGTGCTATAATAAATTGAAGGGTGTAGGTGTGGGTGCATGTATGGTTGAAAAGAAAATCAGCACCTTATCTACATTCTCCTTCTCTATCTTTTCTTTTTGCGTTTTTGAATGTGTACTTTATTGCTGCTATGGCTCATCAACACTTTAATGATGTTAGAGGAATAGGTGAATTCCTTGACAGAGCATGGGTAACCGATTTTCGAAAGTCATCTTTATCGTATAGATGGAAACATTTCGACATAGGAGCATATCGTTGTCCTCGCTGTCAAAAAATGGTCTAGATCTACAATGCCATTGAGATTTTTTATGGATGGTCGTGCTTTAAATGTCTATAAAAACTTGTTACAGGACGTCCTGTTAATTCAAAGATAAATCTTGATGTATACAAGACATCTGAATATCATACTGAGCAACGTATTTTTTATAAGAAAAATCGTTTTTTCTGAGTTCTCTATGAAATGTGGACACTTCTTTCCAATTCATTATCTCGAGAAAGAAAGATCCGTTTTCATTGAAACTTTAGCTACCTTACCATGGGTTGAAAATTCACTAAGCCGGTCATAACTTCGGAAGGAAAGCCTATGAGAACTCATCACTTTGTACTTTTTCTAGTCTCACCAGGTCCTACCTATAGATAAAATATCATTTCAAAAGCTTTTAATCACTTGGTGGGATTTCCTCTTCAGTGAGTCGCTTATTGCAGATAATAGACACAGCTATCTAGAGTGTGATTGAAGTATATCAGTTGTCACCGATCAGGTTGTAAAAAATAGTTCGGTGGTATCAACGATGACTGAGAAAAATCATTTATTTCGATAAACTATGCAAATAGGTGAAGATAAGCTTGATTAATTCAAGTATTTCAAATGATTATCAACAGATCCATAATCGAATATTCGACGTTTGATGTCTATCTCTACTAACTGAACATGTGGATGGTAAATGATAACTTAACCATTGAATAAATTCGCCATTCCATTGATCATCTTTACATTGAACAATCAATGATCGAAGATTAGACATGTTTTTGACAAGTTGAAGAATATTTATTCGATTTTCGACATTAATTAAAAGAACTTCACATTGACGACCAAGTGCTGAATTGATCAAAACATCACATTGTTTACTATTGAAATATTTCTTGTATGTATTTTTTTTTATAAAATCAAGTCGATGAATTGATCGACTAGTTAATTGAGATACTATTTCAATATCATAAAAATTACCAAAGCATAGTGAATAGAGACGAGGAGATCGATCAAGTAATATTTGCAATGGAAGATAATCAGCACCTTGGATAAGTGTTATATCAAGCGAAGTTAGTTGATCAAAGGATCGAATTGCTGACCAAAAATGATTACTTAATGGAAGACTAAGTTTCAGATGAACAATATTTTGAAAGTCATCAGATGTGAGAAAAGAATCTGTGAATAAATTGGTTCTAATATTGATTAGTGTAAGAATCTTAACACGATCATAGAACTCATCATTTGAAGCTGTTGATTTCGACCAACATTTGTTTGCAAGAGAAAAGTCGTTGAAAGCATACGGTAAAGTGTATAAAGTAACGAAATTACTTATTCCTAACATAAACCAATCACATTGAACGAACCATTGATGTTCCTCAAGCCAAAATGAAGTACGAAATGAATCTAAAAGTTGATTCAGTTGTTCTTCAATATTTTTCGTATAGGAAAATTTCCAATCCATTTTTAATTGAAATACTTGAATTTTAGGTAAATAATTAAGAATTATTTTTTGCCATTCATATCCATTCAAATACATACGTTGTGTTTTAATTGTTAAATGACATAAATTCGATAAGTTTTGAAAGAGATGAATCATCGAATGTAAAGCATTTCGAAATGAAAGTTTTGATGAAATGATTGCTGAAGGAATGATCTGCAGTCGTTCATATTCCGAATGAGACATAATAGTTGCATCAAATTGTCGTAGAGATGGTGTACATCGAAATAATTTAGATAGATCATTCAAATTAAAATTGAAATTTTCAACAAAGAGATTTTCAATAGATGAGGAGACTATTGTGTTATTAGTAAATTTCAATTCATATGGAAATCGATGATCTATTTGACAATATATTAGTTTTGGTAAATTCCAAATATGATTAATCAAACAAGAAAATTTCTCTTGATCTTTAAAATCACATTTTATTATATAAAGATGTGTGAAATATGGAAGTTGACGACATTCAAATATGATTTGATTTAGTATAGAAAGAGAATGAATAGCATTGAGTGATAGTAATCGTAAACGATAGAATTGATTGAAGGTAAAGTAATAAGAAAGAAAAAGTTCGAATAAATTTGGTGTTTCATCAGCATTCGATAGATGTAACGAAGTTACTCGATTGATGATTGATGGAAGATATTGTTGACATATAATATGAAATTCACATTTAGATACAGATCGAAAATCCAGATGATAGATTCGATAATGAAGAAGTAGAAAATTGAAACGAGAGTTCAGATTTTGAAATGCACGAAATAAATGAACACCATCGAAGTATCTGAATAATTCAAGTAATAATTCATTGGCTAACCATTCGAATTTTGCCATTCTTTTTCTTTGATTTCAAGTACAAATAGGTGTCTGATGTATTTACAATGTTAGACAGAGAATGAGAACATGTGTTTTTTTTTCTTCATTCTTTCAATTATTTTGCACTGAATTGAGTGTTTTTGTTTTTTCGTTCTCTCTTAGTTGTACTCTTACAAAAAGAATGTGATCATTTTTATTCTTGATGATTATATTTGAAAGTGCAATTCATTTGTAGAAATGAGATTATTATTGATAAAATTAAGCTTTATTTTTTCACAATGAACACTATTCTTATAAAGAAAGTGTAGAAGAACATATGTATTGAGGGTGACTTGAACAATCTATGAATGTATCGATGCTTTAATATATGAACTTTGTTCTTTTAGCATATAAGGAATATTATATTGCAGATCAAGTTTATTTTCACTGATTTGACGATAGGTCGTAACCATTTTTGGATAAACTTTGGTGTCGTTACACTATATTTCAAATTAGCGGATGAGTGAAGATAAAAATATCATCCACCGTTATCCTCATCACTTTCATCCTCTTCAATTCTCAAGTTAAATATCGACTGTTGTTTTCGTTAATACATACAAAACTATATCTGCATTTCAGTATATCCACGCTGAGTCTCTCATTTTTTATCTATTGTAGTTATAATTCTAATTTTAACTGTAATTGTGAGTGGAAGTTCATTCATAATTTTAACCAAGGAATAATTCGTGTAAATATTTCTGGAATTTTATTTTTATTTGAGGGATTGTAAGTACTAAATGATGATAATAAACTATCGGAAACTTTATAAATTAATGAGAAAAAAACATCATCTTCAATATCAGCGATCAGAAATAACATATTGGACAGTGTTCTCTAGATAATTATCGACTTGAAACATTTCTGAGACTTCATCAAATGAAATCGTGAAGCAAGTTAATGCTAGCGCAAACGATTGAAAATCATCATAGTAAATATTTAACACTTTGAGTACCGGCGACGTGAATTCGCGTCCTGATAGTTTAGGGTCTGAATAACTTTAGAAAACATGATTGTTTGATTATTTTATGATATGAATTACATGAATATTTGCGTTTAGGATATTTGTACGGTTAAGACTATCTGTACCTAGTGATGAATATTGGTTGTTCCCTAATATTTCTATCGACCACTATGTGATTTAATGAATTAGAACATAAGTCATTGGGCAACATTTCCCAAGAAAGAATAATCGTTATCAACAGGATTTTTCATATTACCACAGTCATTCAAGAGTGTTATCTATAGTAAAGGTTCTAACCAATTGATCACATATAATAACATTTTCCTTCGCGTATTGAATCAACAGAGACTCAACTAAATCCAAGAAGAAAATGTTACGTTTGTGCCAATACTGTGAGAATAACCAGATCAAGAAGAGATACTTCGTATGAATGCATTGAATGTGATGCAGGATTGTGTCTTATGGTTTGTTTTAAAGACTATCACACTCTACAAGCATTTTAATTCATGTACTTTGTGATATTTTTTGCGAAATAAACGTTAGTTTGAAATTATAAAATTTTTTATTATATAAAAATAATCCGGTACTCAAAGAGTTAATAAGTCGCATTGAAACAATAGAAATAGCCATTTTTATTTATACAACATTTTTTGAAGAAGCTCTCAAGCAATTAAATCATATTGTATTCGAATCACTTAGCAGGATTATCATTCATTTAAACATGAATACACTTGTACGACAGTAGTTATAGATTGAAAAAATGATTAGAAAGTTGTGTAATATGCAAAATAAAATCTACGAATTCGAAAAAACAATTCTTTTTTATTTTATAAAAAAAATATTATTGAGATTATTATTAACTAAATGCTTCTAAAACTATATGTCATATTACATGAAAAGACGAAGTATGGTATTGTGAAAAATACTTGTAAATGAATGATTTAGTAAAAATGCAACTAACCCTATTCAACCTAATGTCATAGAGAGCAAATCAATTTACATACAACTGTTCAACATTTTATAAATACAAAACAATCAGAAAATCAGCTTTGAAATGCGCTAAACATTAGTTCACATGTATACCAGGAGTACACATTTACTGTGACAATGATTTTGTAAAACTTCAACAATTAAGGTCTTAAATGAACTTGACTTTGTTTTTCTTCAATGAATTTGAATAGAACTCGAACAAGTAAAAAGTCGATACTCTCAATAATGTTAGAAAATTATCGTTTTTTAGCTGACTGAAAGCAACAAATTGGTTATTTGATCTTAAGTTTTGCTTAAAATTTTAGTTTACTAATCTCCTGCACTTTTGTTTATCCTCAATCACTTCCAAATTCACGTCCTGAATCATTTAAAACTGTCTCCTCTCACTGAAAATAATTTTTATTCCTTCTTTCTCGCAACGTTTGGATCTGATTACTTGCTCTATGTATACTTCAATGTTATTCTATTCAACTCGATTAGACAATAAAGTGTTCTAAGTTTCTTTTTCCATATATTCGACGCAAACACCGCTGAAAGAGTGCTGAATACTGTTATGAAAAAGCGACTGATTTCTAAGTAAACTAATGTAAGCAAAATTTTTTGTTCTAAAAAAAATACAATTTTGAGCATCGAGTCGAGGTATTGATCTATATCTTGGAAGAGAAACATTCGGCTACCTGTTAATTTACGATCATCTTTTATGTTTAAAATGGTCGACATTAATAATGAATCACAGAAAAACACCAATCGTCGATGACCGAGTGAATTCATTGTCACGAAGAACCTTGAGCATAATTGTTACATGTGAAGTATAATAAATCGATTTTATTGATAGATGAGAGTCTTAATCACATCAATTATTGATCATGAAGGTTAGATAGACAAACATATCAATATTTCTGTCACGGTCTATAGTTCTAGGCCTTTTGTTTGTCGGTTATCGTTTATGAGGCAGATCAGAATGTAGTTAACTTTTCTCGTTATAAGCTTCAGCATTCACTCACAATCGTGATTTATCATTGTGATATTCAAAGTATAGAATGTAGGTGGGTATACCTTCTTTTCACTGAGATTCACCAGCATCTACATCATTATTGATTATTTTAAGTGGTTGAATAGGTTTGCATGTTTGGTATTGGAATAGAAGAATTATGTAGAATAATTTCTGGCATAACTACATCTTTTATTTCAATTTGTAGTACATGGAAATCTTTTCGATATACAAGTCGATTTACTGACAAAAAAAAAGAATTTCGTCAATATTTTCATCCGGAACATTTTTATGACGCTTTTTCAAATGATTTTATCATTAAATGAAATGAACGATGTGACTACAGTGCAAGAAAAAAAAATATCTACAATAAAAAGTGAGCGGTCGAAAAGTCTTATTTAGTATTACTTTATTTCGTAGAATTTACTGAAAGATCTTCAGTGTCATTTTTGCATTTGAAATTTTTTCTACTAATACAATTAAGAAAAGAATTCATTGAGAAAGTTTACTTCACATAAAGAAATATGATTCTTATAGAAGTTAGCCGCCAATTCAAAATAAAGAGATCAAAATTCATCGTGTGAAAATAAGAAAGCTTTATACAGAAAAAAAAGACGTAAATCGATATGACTCATCATGTACAAAGAAAAGAAATGCTTTAGCTACTACCTTTTTGAGTGTCGAGTATTAATCGTAAATACAGTCTATCTAATGTAATCAATCTTACTTCATTAGACCTGGTATATTGCATAATGCAGTCGAAAGTAAAAACAAGGTTTTTTTTGTTCTTTTTCTCTCGTTTTCATAGGATATTAACAAAGTAAAACCGTACATGTGATAATAATCCGTCCAAATGAAATGAATAGAGTATAAAAGAAAATAAGGAATGATGACGGAAAAAACTAACATAAACGTGTATGTAAAGGTTTTACCTATCATACTAATTTCGCAAAAATATTATTCAGATAAGAGAAGAACATACATCTCTCTAGCTTGCTGTTGCTTCATCAAGTAGAAAAACAGTAGCACATAATGATGTCTTTATGTACATCTGGTTTGTTAATTCTATTTTTTTTTCAATTGTTCATTCTCAACCTTTATTCATTGCTCGTTTTTTAAACTATATATACTACGTAATTCTTTATTTACATTGATTCATTTCTAGAAGTCTACACATATCAATTTAAATCATTAATCATGAGTGCAGTACCTATTGTTAAACTTGGTGCAGGCAAAGAATTAACACCCGAAGGTTGGTTCTTATTTTCTGTACGAGTATTTTCACTGAAATGATTTTTGTCCATTGTAGATATGGAAGTATTGAAAGAGCGTTCAAAACTTGGTGAAAACGGTAATCAAAATCTATTTCATTTAATATATATATATATATTATGTGTCTATTTTTTTCATTGCAGACATAAAAAAACTACATGCAGTAGATATAAAAACATGATCGAATTTGATATTCATTGATTCTTATCCTTTCTCTCACTAGGAATTCTGGCGTGATAATCCAGATGGCATCATGACCGATATAACATACGAAAAATTCTATCAGGAACATAAAACGGGCAATATTGTACGAAAATTTCCTCGCGAGTATGTTCATTCATACTTTTATGTATTTGACAGTCTAAGAAAAAAAAGGGAGATTAAATTTGAATCCAAAAAGTTGTTGTGTTAGACAAGAATGTAATAATGAAAATATTTCGACGAGTTCACTCATTAATCATTCATACATTGTAGATTATGGTAGGATTGAATTATCATTTTACATCCCGAATATTGTAGTTAGGATTCGATTTTTCATAGTGAACAAAAAATATTTAAAAAGTCTCAGCATAAGCCAAAGCTCATATTCGAATACGAGTCAAATATTATACTATGTAGTCTCACATATTCTGTTTAAGACTCGCATTTGTTCTCTTCGATACGAATCGCGACAAAAAACTTGACTTTGTGGAATTCTTAATGGCCAATGCTTTCGCATCGGCGGATAATAGACGTGAAGCATTAGGATATTTATTCGATATGTAAGTAATTCTTAGAATTATTTCTTATCTTCATAATTATTCTATCCATTTAGGTGCGATACTTCTCTCGATGGAAGAATGGATATGATTGAATTAGCAAGTTTGAATACGATCATCGTAAGATAACTAGTTTTATTGTTGACATCATCTTGCGATAAAAAATGGATTCATGTTATGCTTTTCTAGACTAGCAGTGCAAAGGAGACTCAGAATGCCTCGGCTTATGAAACTATGAGAGTCGCCGGAAAGATTTTCAGTTTTATCGGTTTGAACACAGAAAGGAAATTGACTAAAGAACAATTCATTGCAGAGTATTATTATATCTGTTGTCTCATTTAAAAATAAATGCATTTTTCTTATTTTTAGATGTGAAAACGTTCCATTAATCACAAGCATGTTCAAAATCAAGAAATAATTGTACTGTTCACTATTTTCCTATTGCGAAAGACATTCTGATGGACAAATCACTTCTTTTAAATTTTTATTTGACTAGATTGACCTAGTGTATTTATCTTCACTGGTTAATTGTATTGTTTTTCTTTCGCAGAGGCTAATATAAATAAAATTCTTCGAGCATTTGTCATCTGCTGCCAGTGTACAAAATGATGCAAAGAAAAAATATGAAAAGCGAACATTTCTGCATTCTAATGCGAAAATCAAATGGAATAGTTCGATATTTAATTAAGTTCCTTAATGACAATCCCGATGTATAGAAATGACTAGATGGTATTCGAGCTTCACTCGAATACGAAATGCGGTGCGAAGCACGAATCGAGAATTTCCAATAACACAGTATCTTACGCAAACGAATAATCGAGTTTACGATTCAATCGAAATCCGCTTCTCTCATGAGCTTATCTATGTTTGACTTCAATCACTGATTCTCTTTCTCTGCTTGTGAATTCAAGAATTCACATTTCGATCAAACAGCTGATCGAGATTTTGAAATAATTCCAAAGGAGCCATAGTAAAATTCATTACCGCGAAAACTCTACCTATGCATATCAACACACTTTTACAAATCGCTGTTCATTGATCGATTAATTATCTCAATAATTCATTATCTACTATCAGTGCATTGACAGCTGTTTCATAAATAACCTAACAGAGTGGCGCCTATCTTTTCTTGTTTTAATTATCTCGAAATGAATAAAACTTAAAGCCATGCTAAATTCGTCATTTTTGGAAGTTAGTTTTAAGAAAACGGAAGGTGATTTCGAAATGAACTCCAAAGATTTTAGCAGTTCGATCTCGATACTTGGACTTTCCGTTCTCGAGATCATTGCGACACAAAATGACCACTTTGTATTGTTATTAATCATTATAGTTTCGCTACTGCTTTATATGACTATCTACTAAAATGAAGACTCGTCATGTATTCTTCAGAGATTTTTCATGTTTTTGGTTGATTCCTCAACCAAACAGATAGGGATTTCATCATCTTTGAGAATTCTCCGAAAGTTGCTGAGTTGACTAGGGATTTAAATCTAGAGTAGGATATTATTGTTTGATTCTTAAAGCATAATAACTAGTCGCATGAAGTTATTATTATTTTCAAAAAAAACTTTTTTTAATAATTTTATCAAATGTGAATGTAATATAATGTATTGTGTACCAATAGAGAGAGTACATAATTCTGAGTCGTAACAGATTGTTACATATGATCCATATGTCAAGAGTTCGAGAAATATCAAAAAACGTTATTTAAAAAATAATCATAACATCACATCTCTATATAAAACTAGTTTTGAAAGAAATAACAACTACCCAGGTGGATCATTCCGGTCGTCGGAAACAGCGTCGTATCCGGCCTGAAACGACTATAAAACGGCGAATTACTGCAGTAATTTTGGCCTTATTTCGCCGTAATCCGTCGTACCATATTACGACCACCGTCTATCGCTAGAAAACGGCGGTCGTTTTTTTCCGGTTTTGCTTCCGTAATCTGGTATGACGGATTACGGTGCCGTTTATCGACGTTTTACATCGTTAATCGCCGTTTCGGGCCGTTTACGACGCCGTTTTATTGGACCTGGGATATCATCTACAAGCAAGTCGATAATGCAATAGATAAAATAAAGAACTGAAGGTTTATTTTGTGCAACACTTGATAATAAAGTCAATAATAGATTGTCTAATTTGATGAATAGTATATATAGATAGACCAACCCACGACGAAAGAAAAAAGACATTCTTAAGAACCAATATTGTTGTTGGCTTTGCTGACGTTATAAAGCCATATTCCGAAGACAAGATGCCGGTGAGAACAGCTGTTTGTAAAGCAAAAACAGCAACTAAAACAAAAATAAACATGTTTGTTAATATGAAACACAATGTTTCAGCCGATACACTACGCCTACAAAGAAAACAAGCACAGCACATAGAAGGCCAATGATTCTTCCAGAAGTGTATTATTATTATAGTGACTTCATGCAAAACTCATAAACTTTCAAAAGTAATGAAATTTAATATCCTGATATTAACAATCATTTCCGAAAATTTCAAAATAACGACATGATAGTTTCCCATCATTATTTCCAAAAATATCTTCATTCAAAGCCTGATTTTACAATTTCTGTCTTTTTAACAATAGCAATATAGACTTTCAGAAAAGATAGTAGAGGGCTTCCAGAGATTTATTTTATTAACATTTATTGCTTCTACGGAACTTATTAAGATTTATTTATTTTGTGAGAATTTATTACATTTTTTAATATGTATTAGTATTTTGGTATATCTGCACCACGAAGGTGTATGTATGCACTGAGTGGTGCCAATATTTCAGTGCACCCTCACTGCAGGTATGTGTACATGTAGTAAGAGATTGTATTAATATAAGATTTATCCCAAAATTATATACGGGCATATGTAAAAAAATCGAATAAATCCCGAAAAAAATAAGTCCCAATAGTTGCTGATAAATTGATATCAATTCTAATATACTTTCGGAAGAGTCATTCAGAAGAAGAAAAAAGCCAGCAAAAGCAAGCGAAAAAGCACAAGTAAATGCAGTGGCATTAAGCCCAAAAAAGCAGATAATCTTAATAGATCAAGTCTTCAAAAAAAAAACAGACGTCGAAATCGACATTGAATGTTTCCTGATATCATAGAATTAATTAGTCTATATTTATAAATATCGATAATTGATTATAAAGCACAGTTACTAATGTTCCCTGGTTAGCAAGTTATTAGATAAAATGCAAATGAGTCGAATTATATGGGACGAAATTTCATGTACCCAAATGACAGGTCACATCTGTGATGTTTTGAAATTTAAAAACAAACATTTAAAAGAACAATTTTTTAAGCAAAATTTAAAAACCAATGCAAAAGTCTCTTCTATAAAGCAGACCTGCAGAATCTGCAGGATCTTTCGAGCAACACGCAGAGCAAACTGAAAAAGTTTCTTGAGGTTTTAAATACACATGAATAAGAATATTTCTAAATTTCTCCGAAAGGTCCATTTTTCCTGGCAGCATCGCTGCAATTTATGGGTAGATTCTCCATACCTGCTATGAAGTCTCTAGTTTTGTTTATTTTTAATTCGAGACTATCTAAAAGTTTTTGTTCTTTGCTGTACATATGTTATATCATTTTGTTCAGAATTAAATTATGAACTCGATAGTATAAGAATAAACTGTTCATCGAGCTAGAACGATTTTCAAAAACCTAACTTACAACAGTGCATTAAAAACAAAGTCCTGTCAAGTGTTAGTTCTAAGCCTTTTACTCCGTCCCATCCTCATCGAAAGCTTTGAGAAGAGTTTCAAAGCATAGAACTTGATAAGTATAGAGCTATACAAATCGATGGATGTTCGAAGAAAACAATAGACGATCACAGTTAGGCAGTTGAATATTTGCTATTTTGTTCAGTTTTTCATGAGAACAAAAGTTTATTTGAAATACAAATTTAACAACTTTGTAACGCGAAAAAGCTTCTATCAAATGAGCTTAAAACGAAATGTTCGACGTCTTGGAAGTTCTCAGAAAGAAAAACATTTTGACCCGGATTATCCACCACCTGTTGTAACACTTTTCTCAATATTATTTGTATTTTTAGTCTTTTAAAAATCACATCATATACAGAAAACCAGAGAAAGACTTTATGTAACAACCTTTACAGAGGAACACATTTATTTTAATAAAAATGATGCAAAAATGAAAGAAGCGTGCAGAAAGTAAATAAAGCTACAGTGTACGTGATTAAAATATCATAAATAACAGCTAATGCTACTTTACACAATTACATATCATTTTCAAATACTTTACCATATTTTTATCGGAGTTTTTCGTAGGATATGCTATTAGAAGGATACCATGCAACTAGTTTAAAATAAATTAAAACATAATTCATCTTGCTTAACATATGAAATGTTATTATTATTTTGTTAAGAAAGCTGATGAAGTCTATCGCTGTCATTAGAGTCCGTTCTAACTAAGATAGGTTCGCCTTGGTTTTCCAGTTTTAAGAGAAGAATTAAGAAAAATCTAACAGATACTGTGTCGAATGACTTTCGAAAAATTGTTTTTTTTCCTCTCTAGTTGAAATTGTGAACTCGTCATTTTTTATCAGGAAGGTCTTTCATCGAAATTTTTTAGGAAAATTTTAAGCTTCATGTTATTATCATTGGACAATAAGATAGAAAATGCGATGAAACTCGACATTTTCCATTCGTACACTACATCGATAAAACTCAGTCTGACTAGAACATTGTACACACTAACTTCTCCTTTCATTCATCTTATATTCTTCGATCAAGAAGAATGATTTAATGTAAAATATAATAAAATTTATATATCAGGTATTCACTACATGACAAATTTGTTTCGATATCCGAACGGGAACTTAATTTTATTGAATTCCGATCTTTCTACTCTTTATTTCTTGTCTGATCATATTGTTCGCTTGTATATTCCTTTGATTCATCGTCTACAAATCTGAGAAAGTGAAATGCGAAAACGATGAAAGATGAAGAGACTACAAAACATGCAGCATAATATCATTTATTAAAAGGATGTCTTGAAAAATAGCCACTTTCATAAAAGATACTATACCTTCTATTACAGTGGACAATATATATGCACCATTGTACATCACTCGGGAGAATCATACATGCATCTTATACGATCGTATAAGATTCAATAATAAGATCGTACAAGAATCTTACATGATTTATAAATCGTAAATTTTCTTATGGAAAATTTAAAACATTTATAAACATTTTAAGTATTTATAAATCAATTTTTGATTTATAAAGTTGGAATCGACTTATCTAGGGAGTCTAATTCTATACGCGTACGAAAAACATAAAAACAGAATTCGTATTCTAACTAAATTTACAGCGAGAAATTCTTATAAAAGCTTTGCGAGTCAGAATTTTCAATTTTAACGTTAGATTTAGGGCCTCTGATAGCAATTTATAAACATCTGAACTATTTATAAATCTAATATTTATTTATAAATTTATCGGATTAACAAATATTTATAAATCTATCCGATTTATAAATATTTATTTGAAAAGAAAGAAACGTCCTATAATATAATATCAACAATTGTCACGTCATGTGTTCAGTGACAGAATCAATCAGTGAATCCTTCTTGAAAAAAAATCAAGTTGGATAAAACCACTTACAAAAAAACATTTTACAGTAATTAATAAAGCGTCTGCGTGGTCTTAATGGTGGCGTATCGAAACGATCAGGTGTTTGTGTAGTTGTTGTTTGAACAGTATCATCTATAAAAATTATCGAAATTTATTTTGAAACCAACAAATCTTAAGATTAATCGTTTTCAGAATTTTTTAGATTTTATTGTAAATTCTGGTAGGCATCTTAACATAAACACAGAGTCTAAAAACATTCTCAGAGAAACATATTCTCCATAGCAATAGTCATAAGAAAAGTAAACTTCTGCTTTCTTGACTGGTGATTTCGAAAACTAGACTTTTTTTTCCAGAAATATTTTTCAGAAAAACCGATATTTCAGTATGTCAAGATATTTTCTAGACAGCCTTGAATATTCCATGTTAAAGTCTTCAGCACTATTAGATTTTTAATTGCTGAACTTTTTCTGAACAGTGTTACAATCATCTCTATTTATCTTAATAAGAAGTAGATTAATGAGGAAATGACGATTTTCCACAGTTCCGCATCACTGGAAGTACATGAGAATCTTATTAATATTCTTGGAATGGTTAAAGAAGACAACATTCTGTTTCTCTCTTGATTAATAGAAGATATATCTTCAGATCGTTGACATTTACTAGAGTAACTTACTATTTATACGATGAACAACATAGACATAATTCAATTTAAAATTTTCTTCTCCAATTATAAATTTTTCATGTTCGATATCAAAAACAACACTGAAAAAGATTAACAAACTTGATGAGACAGTAAAACTGTTAAAATGAAAGACACTAACGCTTGATATATATCTGGATGCGTAGTTTTAAACTTTAAACCTAATCCATTAGGAAAATATTTATTTAAGAATCCCGTCGAAATTGAATAATCATCAGTAATTGGCAATAATAATTGAGAAGCAGGTTTATTTTCCTCCATTACACAAATTACTCTAAAGACATTAATAAAAACTGATAAAATCATTTATGAAAGAAATAAAACTTCATACTTTGCCATATTTTGATCAATTGTAAAAGATATTAAAAAAAGATCACTAGAAAATGTTTAACTGAAAAAAAAATCTAGAAAGAAAAAGACAAAATATTGCAGCAATTTTCATGATATAACATATCAATAGTTAACACATCTTGAAAAATTGAATATTGTAAATATTCTTAACATATTGTGTTTGCTCAATATACTCTTTTGCTATTTTTGGGATAGAACAATGGAAACGTCGAAACACAATTAGATTAGAGAAACTATTGGTAGCTATTTTCTAGTCAATAAGTAGTCAAAAGAAAAGATGTCGCGCATAATTGCCATTGTAGCATAGGATGCACACTCATATAAATATATGTTTTGACTATTTATGTCAATGCAAAAAACTTGTACTTTGGTTATTTTGACATATACTCCAATTTTTTCATCGTCGAATAAAATTGCAAAAATTATTTATTCTCATTATAAATTCTATTTGGAATAATTTCGCGAATATTATTAATATTTATAAAACAAATATAATTATTTGAGTAAGAAGAATGGTTTCATCCTCTGTATGAAATGTGGAAGAAAGTTTGTCCTAAATTTTATAAATATAAAAAGTTTATCACCATCCCTAATGAACAGCAAATCTAATCTTTCGTTCTTTAACAATTATTCACTTTACCAAAATTTCTAGCTTTCCTAATATTTCAAATAGTATTTATAGGTTTTATCGATAATAAACACACAACGTAAAAATTCTTTTTCACTTAGTTAAAAAATAGAAATATTTAATTATTTCTATAATATTTTTTTTCTACTAAACATTTGAAATCAGTGCAGTATATGAAAAATTTTACGCTCTAATGGATTACTGATAGCATAATAGCAAAAAATAAACCAAATTAGTCTGATATAAGAGAAAAAAACAATTTCGTTTCGCGTTATCAGTTTCATTTGTTTTCGAATCGTGTTGAATTTCAATGAATGAATAAGGTAAATTATTGTGTGACTAACCTACATCATATTGTCTCCCTTAGGAATATCATACATTCGGGATGCAAATTATGTTATTTTCATATCACTTTTATTCTATGATTTTAATAATAATCTTATTATTCATTAAAATCTTGAATATCTTTCCAAAAAAAGCCGGTTCAAATTTTTCTTTTCTTTTCATTTCTATCATTGATTGTCAACAAAAAACATGTTATTGTTTACATTTGAAACTTAACATCAACTACATGAGCGGCGCACCAGCAAGCAAAGAGTTAGTAATTGCTTCTCCTAAAAAGAATTTGGGGAAGCAATAAAAGTTTATTGCTTCTCCTAATTGCTCATGTTTTATTCGTATGCTATTTCTCCATGTTTTCTAAACTTTTGATTATCAAATAACTTAAATTTGTATTTCTTTCTGCTTTCGTCCATAATCACCGTACACGAACGTACTCATAAAGAGATCAACTAGCTGCTAATATAAATAGTTAAATAAACAGTTTCAGTGAGAAGATCGCAATATTTTCAATTGATTCTTACGTTTACAATTTCATCAAGAAGGAATAGCTGTTAAAATGGCACAGTCTTTCACATGAGTATTAACTCGAAAACCAAATGGCTGGTGAGCGGACAGTAATAACAAAAAAAGTCGAGTTTTGCTAACTCGTTCTGAACACATCTGTTCTCAATAGAAACGTTACACTACTCTCAAACCTTTAAGGCCTCTCCCTTCAAAAATCGATTCCAGGGCCAAGTACATTCAAATCGTCTGAAATTTTCGGATCATGTTGAGACTTAACTGAAGACGCTATGGTAAAACTTTCAGCCCTATACCGTAATGTTTGATAGAGATATGAATCACACAAGGGCAAAAATAGCTCATTTCGCATCCCATTTTTTCTCTGTCCGAGCTCTCTCAACATATTAAAGTTTTTTTTGTTTGAAAGAGTATGTCAAGATGTAGGGCACCGCGAGATCCTTTTTTTAAAATTCTTACTTTTTAAGTGGAGACGAGGGATCACAAGTTCAATAATTAAGAAAACTCTCTAAAAAGGGATGCCCATTCACATAAACGTTTGTATATATAATAAAAAACAAAACTTAATTAAAAAAGAACTCTGTGGTGCCCTTCATTTAGACGTGCTCTTTCAAACAAAAAAAGATTAAATATATTGAATGAGCCTGAACAGAGAAATTATGTGTTGCGCGTTTGAATAAGCATAATCTGAGAAAAAAAACGACAGACATTTTCCATTTTTTTGAAAAAAGCCTGTTTTTTTAAGAAGTGGATGATAAAATTTATCAGAAATTTTGCCCCAAACCGGGATGTCGATTTAAAAATCATGTTGTTTCCGAAAGAGCAGAATGCGGACTATCTCAGCATGCGTTTATCCCAGGTTTCGTTTTTTTTTTGACAAAAACTGACTTTTTCTGAGAGGGAAGGCCTCAATATGCTGTCAAATAAATTAATACGCAGGTTTCCAATACTATGTTTTTGACAAATTAATTTCGAAAAAAACTTTTACTGCCGAGCTTTGAGCTACGACTTGAAGGGAGATATAGCTTCATTCTAAAACTTATTGCTTTCCCTAAAAAATTGAGTTTGCGCCGCCCATGATCAATTATGTTGTCATTTTACGAATATCGAACATTTGTTTGAGAGATTTTATTGACAATGTCCTTGGTCGACTTTATCATATTTGTAGATATGCCAACTGTTTTCGTTGTCACATTCTACTAATTATTCATTGCTTTTCTCGTCTATCCATGGATCTTTTACTCACATTATTTTGAATTGCACACGAGTTGGGAAATAAAAGAAAAACCATAGGACACTTTACTGTTAGACAAAGACAAGGGAAAAAATCTTCTTTAGATTTAAATTATAAGTCATCGATAGATAGTCATTGTTATGATCATGTAGAAAAAAAAGAAAAATATAAAATATTGTTGATATATAATTTATAATTCATATATATATAGGAATAACTCTGTAAGCTTAGGAAAAGGAAAAAGAAAAGTTACACTTATGATCAATTTATAACTTGGATTATATAAGTATTGTCTAATCATTCAAGTCATATATTAATTGCCACAATCAAATTCTTTAGACAAATTTTTTTTGTTGCCGTAGAATATTTTCTTTCTAATTGTGCTTTTATTAATTGTTTGCCTTTGTGCGAATACATGGATATTAAAACATAGACACGCATTATAAAAAACGATACGATATCAAACACAGGACGATATAATTTTTTTTTCGCAGTATGTTATGAACAGATTGAATAAATAACAGTTACATGAACTAAATCAAAGAAAAAATGAAATTTTCGTTACTTTTCGCAAATTATTTTCTTTTGGTAATAAACGAATAACAAAAAAAAAGGGAAAAGGAATGTTTATAATAAAGAATAAACACAGAAGATGTTTGTATAAATCATAGAATACATAATTAAAATGTTCTGTTTAAATACGAATCATTTTTGATCGATTAATATCATCATATAATGATAATAATTCAATATACCGTATTCCCCTATATTTTTTATGAGATCTACAATACATAAAAATTAATTTCAGATTACAAATTAAAATAAAATATTTATGTCATTGCTTCAGTTGCTTCTTTACGTGAACCAAATTCTGCATACCATATTAGTGGTTTACCACGTGGAGTATTTTCTTGTTCAAGTCGGATTGATACAACAGGACTAAAGAACTAAAAGAAAGAAAAATTCATTTGCAAATAGAAAAAAAAAAGAAAAACAATATTCGTACATCAAAAATTTCTTTTTCACCAGCATCAAATGGTACGCCACGCATTCTCATTGTAAATGAAGTAGAGATTGCTCCTAAAAATTTTATATATACAGTTTCTATATCTTTTACATATTTCAATTTTAAATTTCTTATGTTTAAGTGATTCATTTTGATTATAATTACTGCCTGCAGGATAATTATTTGCATTTCCGCTATAAGAATTATAATTATTCGAAGGTGAACTACTACCGTATTGGTTCATATTATTATTATATCCACTATACACTTCCTTGTCGTTGTGCTCCTTTATTACCTTTTTCTCATGTCACGGTTTGTGTATCATTTATAATTGATGCACGAGCTTCAGCATATGTTGATTTGAATACTTCGATATAGCTGTTTTTACTAATAAGAGTATAATAAAAAGAGAAATAAAGAAAAAAAAACTTTTCATGGGAACAGAAATATTTAATTTAGAAAAAAATTTATAGGACATTAAATGGGAACATGGAATAAATTTGATTTGAAAAAGAAAAAAGAACCAAGTAACTTTTTTTTTTGATTACATCATTAAAGAAAATACTCATTTTAATATATAAGAAAATAAATAAATAAAATAGGAAGGAGGATTTTTTTTAATCTGACTGTTTACTGTACCGATGCCCCATATTCATGCGGTTGTAGTCCAAAGCTCGTAGGGCATTGTCCATATTCACAAAAGCAACGAAAGCCTCGTCTGCTGGTTTGCTCGAGGAGATGTGTACATCATTCTGAGCTATGTCGAGTCCTATAAGGTGATTCAATCCCAAAAATAGACAAATAAGTTATTATTTTCCCTCATATAAAAAACGGAGAGAAGAAGACATCCAAATTTAATATTATAATTAAATTCCATTCTCTCTCCATTTATTTTTCTTTTTTATTTCTCTAATATCTATGTACCATGAAAAAATTTTATAACATCATCTTTTGCTGAATTATAAGGTAAACCACGTAAACGAACAACAGAATCATTCCTATCAACATTATTTGATGTATTTGTTGATTTGTTGAATCATTATTTTTAATCGTTTGTGACATTTCATTCGAATTTGATTTAAATACTTCAATATAACCGTTAGAAAAAAAACCCAACAAAAAATGATAAAAAATTTTGTTTTCTATAAAATTTTTATTTACGATTTCCCATCATTTTTTTATCAAAACTTTTTGCTAAATCAATGTCATCTTTTGTTTCAACAATAACAAAACATTCACCAGTTGATGCATCTTGATCATTTGTTACGAATTGTATTTGGCAAATTTTACAACCTAAAATTTAATTCATTTTTTGTTTCAACAATCAGAAAAACAAACAAAAAATTTTCAATAAGACCGTGAAGAAAGTTTTGTACTGCATTTTGACTTGTATTCCATGGTAAATCACGAAGACGAAGAATAAAATTATTCATATTATATGAACTGCTCATCGTTACAGATTATTAAACTCTACAAGAAAAAAAAATCTTCAAAAGAAAATAACAGAACAAAAATATATACATGACAGACAGATCATTCCCAGGGAGAAATGAAACGGTCAATATGATGTTTAAACGGCCATAATTGCCCATTTAAGGGGGGGGGGGGGTATCCCCCCCTAACATACCCTCAAATTTAGCCAGTTTGTAGAGAACACTTTCAATGGTATGTCTTTACAATAAAAAAACAGGTAGTCAATTTTTGACCGAGTTATTAATTAATTAAGTTCAAAATTAATTAAAAAATTTGGATTAAGCAGCACTTTTTGTGAACGTTCCAGTATTTCATAGGAATGTTAGATTTAGTTCATTCCAATGTAGTTTTGTAAACAATCATTTGAAGATATAGTTCCATGAAAAAAAGTCTTAAATATGACTTTCTTTTGTGGCGTTTAATCACTAATTAGTCCTAATTAATACTGATTAGTGAGACTCCAGTGCAAAAAGTAACTTTTCCCGACGTTCCAATAAGTTAAAAACATTCGTGCAATACATCATTCGATAGAGATTTTCCAGCTCTATCGATTGCTGAACTCATTTTGCCTAAGAACTTCCATTTTCGAAAAAACAATTCGATATACTGGATAAAGTACGAAAAATTGGGCTCGTATTCGGTGATTTTGACCAATATATATTCATTTATGGTCAAAATGGATATGATATTCGGAATCAGCATCAAAAACTGATTTAGAAACATATATTTTTTTCTTGTTACAAAATAAAATTTTCAAACCTTATGTCGCAGTGTTCTGAGAGGACATCATTTGAAAAAAAGCTGAGGGGGAGTATAGGTGTAATTTTGATGGAAACTTTTTTGCAAACAAAATATATCTACCTGAGTCAGTTTTTGATGCTGATTCCGAATATCATATCCATTTTGACCATAAAGGAGTATATATCGGTCAAAATTACCGAATACGAGCCCAATTTTTCGTACTTTATCCAGTATATCGAATTTTTTTTTTCGAAAATGGAAGTTCTCAGGCAAAATGAGTTCAGCAATCGATAGAGCTGGAAAATCTCTATCGAATGATGTATTGCACGAATGTTTTTAACTTATTGGAACGTCGGGAAAAGTTACTTTTTGCACTGGAGTCTCACTAATCAGTATTAATTAGGACTAATTAGTGATTAAACGCCACAAAAGAAAGTCATATTTAAGACTTTTTTTCATGAAACTATATCTCCAAATGATTGTTTACAAAACTACATTAGAATGAACTAAATCTAACATTCCTATGAAATACTGGAACGTTTACAAAAAGTGCTGCTTAACCCAAATTTTTTAATTAATTTTGAACTTAATTAATTAATAACTCGGTCAAAAATTGACTACCTGTTTTTTTATTGTAAAGACATACCATTGAAAGTGTTCTCTACAAACTGGCTAAATTTGAGGGTATGTTAGGGGGGGATACCCCGCCCCCCCCCCTTAACCGAAATGGTAGTGATAAACGGCAAAAAAAGTGATTATCACTTTTCTTGCCATGTCAACGCTTCACTCTCATTTAAAACGTGATCTATATTATATAACCGTTTGAACGGCTATGAAGTCAGTATCTTCTACACAAATAGTGATAAGTGCTGACGATCATGCATTTTTCCATTGTAAACTGCCGTAAATACACAAAGTAATGTAATTCATTTTTTTTCTTACAACTATTATTCACTTCATTATTGTATTCTCATGACTTGAATTTTTACTTTTTATTATTTTATACTACGCATAAAAGTAACTTAAATCGTTTGAAGCTTTGATCGATCTTTGTTCTTTTATAAGTTATTTCTGAGAAAACTAATGCACTATATATTTCGTCGTATAAAAAAATGTGTTCCTTCTACCAAAATAAGAATGTGCATGTCGTTATATTATCTTCGTCAATGAGAATCATGTATTGGAGCGAAACTCAGGATGACGAAAAGCGAATGCCAGATTTACTGCCGTAAAAAAAAAGTAAGAAGGCGCTCTTTATTTATATGAGAGAAAAACGAAAAAATACCAAAAAGAAATAAAAAATAAAAATAATAAACATTAGTGATTTATAAGGGCAATATCTTCATAATAAATGATAAGATAACAGCGGCTTTGTATAACATTATTGAAAATATTTTTTCACAAAAGAAAGACGATAATTCGACGTTTCGATGATCTATGTCATCATTTTCAAGATTTATTAAGATCTTAGAAAATTGTACATTGAACAAAGAAAAGAACGAAAGGAAAAAGAAGAAAGAAGAAGAGAAACGAAGGAAGAAAAAGGAGGAAAAGAGAAAACGAAAAACGAAGAATACAGAAAACAAACGACTTTAAGTTTCATTAAAGATCAGGATTAGGTAGCAGAACTCTCGGTAGACCATCAGGAAAAACAAGTAATGGTACCGAATGTGTGGTTTTGTTGAGTTCTGGTTCATAAGTCTTGATCAATAATGATTCTTTAATTAATAGACGATAATAATGATTGTCTTGCCATGTTACCTGAAAATTACTCCAGTCCATATGATGACCTGTTTCTTTTTCATGTCGAGTAATTGATGACTTGGCAATCTTATTATCGTTGCTGTCGTCGTCTGTTGTTGGTGGTGGTGGTGCTGTTGTTACTGTTGCTGTTTTGTTTTTTATACGTGATGATCTTCTTAATTCTATGATGTTGTTACTAACACTAAGGTCATCACTTACATGGTTGCACTGTTGTTGTTGATAAATTGTTTTTGGTGCACCATGTTCATGTAATCTTCGTAAACATTGACGTTCTGTCTTGCCAATATACGAATGACTACAGTCATTGCATTTAATATAATAGACAACATCAGACTGCATATGTTTAACAATTGGATCTTTGGTTTTGAAAAATGCTTGTGTTGATGGTGGTAGTTTGGTGAAGTATTAGATGTCGAGATCAGGTCGTAGTTTATTAGATAGGTGCTTAATTTTCTTCTTCAATTCTAAAGTTGAAGATCTAATAAACGGTAATTCGACATACATTTTCTTTTTATCACATCCAATTACGGTTAATTTTGATTCTCCATTCATCTTTCGACGATATTGACTTAATTTAATGCCAATAATATTGTCAATAAAAGACAGTGGATAATCATTTCTTAAACCAATTCTTCTTATTTCATTAAATTCAGCAGCTAATGGTGTATATGTCGAACATATAATGAGTGCACGATTAACCATACTAACAATACTAGCCTTTTTATATTCAATAGGAACATAAGAATTCCAAATTTGTTAGTAATCCAGTGAATGTTGGTTTACGATAAATTGTTGTATCGCAGCATTGTTGTTCGGGTGATCGAATAACTTGTACATCGAGAAATTCCAATTTATCATTATCTTCAATCTTTCTTGTAAATTTAATCGATGGATGAAAAGGGTGTGGGTGTGGGTGTGGGTGTCGGTGTTAGTCTTCTCTTTCCCCACACCCATACCCACACACGCGCACCTGCACCCACACTCACACACCCACACACCCACACTCACACCCCACACACCCACACACTCACACACCCACACACCCACACACCCACACACCCACACACCCACACCCACACCCACCCACCCACACCCACCCACATCCACCCACATCCACCCACACCCACACCCACCCACACCCTCAAGTAAGTACTATTTTGCTGGAAAAAATCTTTTCCTTTTGTTTCGTTTGATGCATGATGCCTGCTTCGTCCGCAGATTTTTATTCAGGCAACAACAACAACAACACCACACACTTCACATCTTGGTTATTTCCAACTTCTACAAAAAATAACTCTCTAGTTTCCATTGAAACATTCCTGTCTTAATTGTGCCAAAGCTCTTCATTTCTACAATGTTGCTTCCATGTCAAACTACATCGATAATTAATCAACAACGCTACCGCAGCATTTCCATCACTATACAAGTTAGTCAAAATAACAAAGAAATCGAGTCTTCTAAGCCGGTCTTCATGAAATAATTTCTCCTAATGATAACTTGATTTTCTACGAAGTCTAACACTACATTCCTTAAGGAATGGTACTACTTTGCACGTGGAATCTTCATGCGGTAAATTATCATTTACCACAGGTGCGAATATGCGATAGTGCATGTCACGTAGTTCTCTTGGCTTTTACAAACGCACAAAAAGACTCCTTTTTCGCATTTAGCTTATACCAGAAACTACATAAAATTAGCTGGCTTTCAATTCACTCTCGATGCACGACATCCGACCAGCAATATTACTGATAACGACGTTCTCCAATTCATTCACATTTACAAGGTAATAACAAACGCAATTCACTTGGACATCCGAAAAGCAAGAATATATTCTCGGCCAGGTGTTCACTTACAAATACATCTGCTAACAGTCCTCACACAGTCTTTTGCCCATATCGACTTCCACACTCACAACCAACGCATCGATAGACGCTGTTTCACTGTCGCACCAACGTGTTCAGCCACACTTCATACCCAAACTAATTTCCATGCGTATGTTGGTACGGCTAGGCACATCCTATAGAAACGACCCATCGCCCACTAGCCAGCTGATAACATTGTCAGGTCCACTTCTGCCGATATATATCTTTAACCAACAATAACTCACAGCCTCTCAACATGCGCCCACATATACGCATTCACCTCCACAGACATTCTGACATGCCCACGTAGATAGGGTCTCCCACTTACTGTCGGAACATCCACAAAGTTTCACGGACCTTCAATTTCAGTCACAATCTATTGATTGCACCACCAACCATACCGGTTCTAATAGAAACTTCCATAAACATCGATACACAAGCTAGGCCCATACATGACGATCGTGTCCCTTATCGTAAATTGTCACGCATCCCAAAGCACTTACACCACTCATTCGCACTGCTCTAGTCACTTATACATACTCTAACACATACAACACCGAGGTAAACGAAACATCCATGCCCAGAGACAATCATCTGCAAACGCAATCCATATCCAAACTCACAGTCAAATAAACACAAATACGTGTTTTGCACACTAACATTAAGTCAAACAGTCATTGCCCGAACCTGGATCCATGATCAGCTACCTTGATCAATCACACTCCACATTCATGCCAACTGTACATCCGCAGTGATGCTATTACAGAAATGCATATGGAGCTGAATCCCACACCATCAACCATTGCACACAGATATCCATAGTCCTACTGCCACTCCACTACCACAGTTACATTACCTGCTAAACCATATACGGCATGCATGTCTCAGTGTATCACCACAGTCTCAACAATCAATGCTATCGCGTAACGTAACAAGCCATCAGCCCATAACCACAACCGCACTTACTCTCTAAGCCACACCCAACATTTATTCACACTGCACATGCGTCCCAACGGCAATCTTCCACTCCCTGCCATTTGTGAGACAGGGTGTGGGTGTGATTTTTGAGCTGCGATTGGAGATAGTGCAATATATGGCCGAGCATCGAACTGTCGCTGTGCTATCCTCCGTCTGTGGGGTACTGATGGTGTCTGCTTTGTACTGTCAGTGTAGGCGTGGTTTTCTAGGAACCTGGACCTGACAAAAAAAGTGAAATTTTAGACCCGAGCTCGGACCCGACCAGGTCTGGATCTGGAAGGACCCGCAGGGTCCTAATCCACACCCACACGCTTCTAATTTAAGAATTAATTTAAATAACATAAATGTAATTTTGTTTCAACTTTAAAATGTATCAATTTAATTTAAAATTAAACAAAAGCACTATACTAAAAGAATGAATCTCTTTCCAATTTAAATGATTATTGGTTCATTATTTGTACTGAATATTTTTTGCATATATTAGTTTTTTTAAAATCTTTGCGATCAGAAAGAAATTTTTTAAACTAAAAAAAAATCTAAAATAGTTCCATCCAAGCATATGTACATAATTTTGTGTTATAATAAAAAATTTTTATGCGTATGAAAATTTTGAAAAATTCTATTAAATAGTGTCTAAGAATCTTTCGTGAGACATAGCAGTTGATTTCTCAATAACATAGTTCGATTGCCTAAACGACCAGTTAGTAACATATTATATACCTGCTCGGATCTAACCTTTCGCCTTATATATTTCGATATCACTAGCTGACTTGAGGAGTGCAGCTCCAGCAACGAACATGGCCATTATTTGATGTAATAACTGGTAACAAATCATAGCTTTGTCATAAATGCATGGGCTGAAAACTGTTGAATGCTGAGTGAAAACCAATTACAGGAATTTGGCCTACTGTGGTTCAATGCAGTCGTTTTGCATGATTGGTGATCATTTGATCTAGTTAAACAAAATCTAGCCAATGACAATAGCTCGTAAGCATTGCATTGTGTTGTAATAAAGAGAATTATAAAAAAATACTTGCGATAAATGGCTTTAACGAATGTAACTGTGTATAAATAGCCAGAACAATTACTTTGAACATGTAATGAAATAGTTCCTTGAGTAACTTATTTCTATATATTGTTTTTCTTCAACTCTCTCTCTTATTCTAGAATTATAAAGAAATTTTAGAAAAATATAAGACATTATTTCGTGTTTCTATTTAAGCTTCTCTTTATTCAAAGTTTCATGCAGTTATCATACTGAACGACATTAATAACATGGCTCAGAAAGTTTCTAGAATATTGTAAAGTCTTCGTCGAAATTTGAATGGCTGAAATATGTTTGTGAATGTTCTAAACAGTATAGTTTTTGATTTTTGCGCAAATAAAAATTAAGATGATAGATGCCAAAGATGATAGGTAATCATGCATTGATTTGTTACAACTTAAAAAACATAAACTGATCAAGTTATAACTTTTGGGAAATCATCAATATCAGTATTTCTGAGCTTATAGATGTATATAATAGTGTGTTGAGACTTGCTCTAGACATCATGAATATGTTGTTATAAAAGGTTTGTTTATTAGTTAAATTAATAAAAACGTTATATGAAAATGAAATACAACGAGAGAATAGTAATAACGAAAAGAACAAACTTCTGTTCGAAATGCAGAAATAAATAAAAACAGATCGTTTCTCTGGCAATTGATAACTCTTGGAAAAACAACTATAATCTGTTAGAGATTTTTCACTTTGCGTATTATCTTCACAAAAAAAAACTTAATGACATTATGAAAAACTACTGTTATTTAATACAAAAAAAAAGAATATATATTTCATGAAAAAGCATTACAATTCTTATGAAATACTTTCAAAAAAAATAAACATTGTGCCGATGTCGCTAATTGTCAATCTAATTTGTCATTTTTTTTCTTTCTATCCAACCACATAGTTGATGATTTCATCAGCTGATTCATTGACAATTATAATCAGATGTTTTTCTTTGAGTATTCTAGATGACCTACAGGAATATTATTCGTATAAAACCGCAATTTTAGTGTATTGTAGAAGTCACATTGTTTATTTAGTTTTTTATATATCGTTCGAAACTTCAATTTGTCTTGAATTTTTTTGCAATTCACATGAAATTTTTTTGTTTCGCTAATTTCTTCAGTGTAATATGAACAAAAATTTTATTATTCTTTAAATGAAAAAAAAAAGAAACGTTGGAGAATTCTTTCTTAGTTCTTATAGTTCCAACATTATCTTTGTAATAGGAATATGACATATCTAATGTAAATGAAGAATACTAACTAAAATGTTGATTTAATGACAAATATTTTTTGAAAATTTAATCTTTTTTTTAACAAGTTTTATAGAAATATAAGTAATAAATAAAACTCGTCAAAATCGTTTTCTTTATTTCCCCATTAAATAATCGATCATCGCATAATAAATATCATTATTTATTATAGTGTACGTTCAAATATCATAAATATCCTTGTAGTTCCAACTTGACACTATCATCTTCGCCATTATATCATCATCTATCGAGTGTACGTGATTGTCTTCTTTACTCTTTCTCTCTCTACATCTGATTCGATAACTACGAAGAAATCATCATATGATGATATCTCTTGACAAACGTTAGTTACATCATTGCCACTCGCCCTATTGTATTTCATTACTGATTCACAAAACAACTAAATTTTAGGTTTCTCTTGTTTCTCCATAATTTTATTCTACTGAAAAAAAAAGACGACACTTGATAATCATTGATCAACATCACTATTGAATAACTTCTGTTATATATGGATATAATAAAGTGTTGAATATATTTTGTTTTCATAGAGTATATTTATTCTATTAGCAAACTTGAAATACATAGATAGAATCAAGGATACAAGTATGTATTTACATTTTTTTTTTTCTTAACAATTATCTTTAATATTTAATTGATCTTTTGAGTCATTTGAATACTAACAAACTATGAAAATTTAAATAAATGATATAAATTGATTAGAATTTTCTTTAGATTTATAAAAATGTTTTTAATATTTAATAATATAGAAATAATTTATATCTTATAAAAGCATATTTGCAAAACCCTTGGGTAAGAAAAATTGTAGATTTTATTCTTAAAAATTAAATAAAAAAAAAAAAGTTTTTTGTTTTTTTTCTATCAAATTCAAATCTATTCATCGTTATTCTAATGACATTTTCATCCTTCGTAATAACGCAAAAAAAACAAATCACGTTTATCTTAATACTTACTCTAAGAAAAGAAAAGAACGATAAAATGTTATATGAGACAAACTATTATCATCAAAACAGCAAGTTTCTGTGTTGGGGTAGATAAACACTAATTTATTTCAATGGTAGTATATAATGTTTTTTATTCTATTACTTATGAAAATTTCTCAGTATTTTGATGTATAATATATATAATTAAGTTCAGAGAAAAGATGAAATTTTTTTTTCTGTATAGTTCGAAAAGAATTATCTCGTGAGATTTACGCATGTTTTTTTTTTCTCACTCAATATACATTGTGTGAAGCGTAAAAGTTCTATATTCATTTGTTGTTTCTAACGATATATTATCTTTAAATCATAACTCAACCATATAATCTTTTTTGCATAAGAAAGAAATCACTAGTTCCAATCTTCTTCTTCGTTTTTTTTTCTGTTTATAAATATTAACTTTGTAAAGAATGATCATCATATCATTTAATAACTTAAATACGTAAATTTTCATTACTATTAAATTCTTGTAGAATTTTATGAATAGAACAAATGTCCTTGAATATATATATTTTATCATTATCCAATTAATATTTCGTTCTTCTACACTCTTGTTGCACATATTTTCGTCTTTTAGTCCATACAGAGAACGCATGCTACCTTATATATAGTCAAATAAAAAAGCAAAGGTATTTTATTCGCATATTTTACTTAGATAGAATAAGTCAGACAAAGCGATTAATGGCTAAACAATATTAAATTAGAAGATTCACGTAAGATATTTCTATCATTTAGTTTAACATGATTTATTTGGACATCATTACTTAAGAATAGCATCATTATTAATATTTTTCAATCATTTCATCGATCATCTGAGAGAAAAAAGAAAGAGAATGAAAAAAACATACTATATGACTTCTCATATGGTAATCATCTATATAATGTATAGCGGGTAGCTCATAGAAGAAAAAACGATAGAAAGAACAGAAAGATATAAACCACAAATAGCCAGTGTTGCTTGATTTATATATAACTATGTCAATAAGGATTGTTATTTTACATAAGTTTACATAGATGTATATATATATCTATATATTTCAGACACAATCAATTAAATAGTTGAGAAAAAAAGTTTAAATAATTATTTTTTCAATATTCATCATTTTATACAATTCAATAATTCAATTTGAAACGGTAAATATTTTTTATATTAAACGCAAAAAAAATAGTCATATTTGTTGAATAATCATCATATGAATTATGTTTATTATTATTGAGAAAGAAGAATATAATCTCCCTAAGGAAATTCTTTTTTTTTTTGCTTTGTAGTATTCGTCATTTGAACATTTATAAACTGAAAACATCATAAATTTTGCTGATATATTTAATAAAAAATACATTATACTTCTTTTTCAAAGTCACGCGCACACATACACACATATTAGCAATACGTTTTTACTCTTTACTTTCTTCGTGTTTTTTTTTTCGGTGTAAGTAAATGCGTGCATATGTCGCCTACTTCTTTCAAATATAGTTGATGATTGACAATTTGAGTGCAACTTTTAATCGTGAATGATTCCTCTCACTTGTCTCCTGTCAATTTTTTTTTTTTGCTTTCTTTTTTATTTTTAATTTCACATGTCTTGAATTATTATTGACATTAAACAAAGCAAAAAAAGCCTTGAGATGATTTTAAATCAATGCGCAATTAAATCTACATCGAAAAATTGACTGTATTTATGTTTTTCTCTGTTGACTTTTTTATTGGCCTTGAATATCTATATGTATTATATATATATCCAGGCCGTACTCATGTCTGTATATCTCATATTGCCATTATCAGCATGAGTAACCACCAAAATAAACGTCATAATCATCGTCTCTCAAGGGCAATCTATGACCATGTGAGCAAACGAAAATAAATAAAGAAGAAAAAAAAAAAGAATATGATAAATTTGTTGTTATTCTATCTTTGAACGATGAGAGTGTAGAAGACATAGATAATATCTTACTAATTGGTATACATAAGCAGGTATATGGAAAGGGAAAGAATCGTGCGATCAACTAAAGACAATACGGCTTCATCGTTATCGTCGTCATGTTTACATATATGAAAAAGAGAAAGAACGAGAGACAAAAGAGAGAAATCTTATGATGTTGTTGGCGAGGCGTCAAGTGAAGAGTAATACGTTTGTTGCAGCGACCGCATGGAACATAAGTGCAAGTTTCTATTGTATTTTTTTCTCCTTTTTCTTTCTCTCTCTCTCTCGCTTCCACTTTATCACCTAATAGTTGTGAGATGACGTCTTATATTTATTCATATACTCGCGCTATTTTTCTTTTTTTTTTTTTATTGTTCATTTGAATATGTTTTGTTTTTCTAGCATTAATCTTGTCGACAATAGACAATAATGGATCATTGAATACTCTTAATTGATAAAACCAACTTTTAACAGGTAAAAAAAAAAATGAGAAGAATCAATGGATGTCAGTTGTTGTTATGATTATTATTGCTTTTTCTATAACATATTATTGTAACGAGATCGATGTCGTAGAGAATTGAAGACAGAAAGGAAGAAAAATGGTCTATCAAGCTCTATATAGAATTGACATATGACTATAAAAGAACATTGAATCATTTTTATTTCAATGTTCTATAGCTCAATTGTAATCATGAGAATCTTTTGATGGTTTTTTTTTTCTTCCAATAAGTATGACAAAGAACGATTTAATCATTTGCTTTCTTTTCTTTTTCTCTAATCGATCAAATACTTAGAAATAAAAACAAAAGCGAGTAATATTCACGACAAGTATTTATTATCGGATGGAATAGAAAAATGACACTTTTTAATAGATCTGCCTCTTTTTTTTTTAATCTGTATAAGAATATAGAATTTAAATCTAACTTGTTTAAGATAGAAAATGATAGAGCTATAGTGCGAACATGAGTATAATGAATTCGAGTCATCTTACATTGAACAGCTAATGTTCGAGATTATCTCAATGAGTAATATCTGCTAATTGTGTTGAGTTCGAGTAGTTCTTGTAAATCTGAGACAAAAGGAATTTATCCGTAATCATAATAATGACAGAAGAATAATAACTTGTTTTTGTTCTACAAAAACATATAAGATCTTTCATAGTGAAAAACTTATGATTACTATCGCATTTTTATCTTAATTAAACATATTTGCTGTTTTTTTCGTTAAATCATTTATAGAATTAATAAGAGAATATCTATGTTTGCCGTAATCAATACTAGTTACTTTATGAGTTACTACAGAATAGGTAATATATGAAGATTCTATTTAATTTTAAATGAAAACCTTGATCTTATAAGGTAAGTCATCCAACTAATTAATTGTATTTGAGTCTGGACTATGTGCATCATGTAGATTCAAATATGTTTTAAATATCTTGAAAAACGTTCGGGTCTTTAGCTTATTACTACAGAGATATTGCTCAAGGAACATCAATGAAAATTGATTTACGAATTTCGATATGAAAATTTGTACAAATATAAACCTTCATAAGAATAGTTTAATAGGAAAGTTTTAGGTCTTCTGATATATTCCTATTCTGAAATAAGAACATTGAATCTGCCGGTATATACAAACGATGTAAATGACACGTTTTTGTTTCTTTGTAAAGTTTCAAATAGAAATTCAAAAAATAAATTTTCATAATGTTTTGGAGGGGTGACCGACCATGACATTGACTTAAATCAATACGCTACAGTTGCAATATCTTCGTCGCAATAAGTTAAGGACTTAAACTCTTTTCACAGTATTCATAGTTCATTAATGTCAACACGATGTGCATAGTTCAACTCAAACGCGATTAATCATTTGGGAGATTTTTCTCGTCAATAGTTCAGGAAAGATACAAAAAAAAATTTTGTTTTTACATATTTAGATTACTCATTGGCATGAAAAAATGTTGTCTATGATAAATCAAGTATTTATTATTAATATCAATGATTTTTGATAAATTATCACCAACTGATCACATGTTTGAACCTTTACCATCATCATTTATCGAACATCCATTATCGAATGAATGTAATTTTTCACAAATTGAATCATCAAAACAAAAAATGGTCTCAACAAAAGAAGAAAATTCTACAAATGATATGTATGCAATAACAACTAATCGATATCATCGATTAAAACCATCACCATTAAATCTTTCATCATTATCAACTGAAAATAGAACATCAACAACAATTAATCAATCATTAGAACAAATTGAACAAACTACAAAGACTAATGTTGATGAAGGATCAACAAATTCTCTTTGGCAATCATCAGGTAAGCTTTTTCAAAATTCTATCAGTTCAATATAACCAGCTCGTTCGAATATCCTCAATATAGACTTATCCCGAGTATAATCTCATATGTGATAGATAGGGACGTTTTTTTTAATAATAATAAAAAATTGATGATTTATTAAAGAAAATTTTTCAAAAAACAAAAAAAAAAGTTCGCTGATAGACTTGATGACTATTTGACTCATTATTGCGTCGAACCTTAGAATCTTCCAGTAAGAATGAAATGAGTATAATTTTGGATGAAAGAAGATAACAGTTAAATATTGAACTAATGTCATATAATATTTCTTTATTTTTTTTTCTTCAGATAATCATCATCTACCAATATCTTCTACAAAATCTTTATCAATTTCTCAATTCTATCCGAATTCATTAATTACTTCATATTCATCATCATCATCATCTTCTGATTTAAGTTTAATTAACAGTGATCCACATCATGGTGATAAACCTGAAATAAAAACTCTTTCATCATCATCATCATCTGGTTATGAATCATCATTAAATTCTGTATCTGATCATTTTTTTCCTTCATCTCCAGATTCGATTATAATTTCTGATTGTAGTCTCATTGAACGATATATTGATTTACATCTACAAAAACAATTATCATTTGAACATGATATAACTTCTTCACCTTTATCGTTGAGTTCATCATCAAGTTCATTTTTTTCTCATGATTTAATTTCAACTATTGATTCACCATCATATTGTCAAAAATATCTTATTCATAATCAATTATCTAGTGATACTGATGATGATTCACAAGCAACAACAATATCAACTAATGTATTACCTTTACAAAGAGAAAAGAAACGACCAAGAAGTTTACCAATAGCCATTCAACAACCGAAAGATGTATTAGACGATGATGAAACAGATAATAGTTCTCCAAATGGTTCTCTTTGCTATTTTTCAATAACTATACCAGAAAAGAATTCTTTTCAAACATATGAATCAAATTCTGTTGTAACTTCGAATGGAATATTTTTGGAAAAAAAATTAATTATACCATTAATTGATAAGCTAAATATTAATGAACAAATAATAGTCAATCAAAAAAATTCATTGGAACATTTTATAATGAGTCCAACTGATAAAGTTAAAATACAAATGAAATATCATGAAAATGATATAAAAAATGTAAATATTAGAAAATTAGATCCAAAAAAAGAATAATAAAACTATTTTTTTTTCTTAATTTTAGAATGAATTAAAAATTTCTCAACCTGAAGATATTGATTTTAAACGATCAAAACTAAAAGCTATTCGAGTACTTTATCAAAATAGAATTAATTTTAATAATATTCAATCTCCGGTGATACATCAAGTATGAAGATAAATTAATTAAAACTTTTATTTTAAGACTTTTATTTTTTATATCATAGAATTCAACTATACTTTCATCAAGAACAGCAGGTTATTGCCGTTCTCCATTAGCTAAACGAACTATTAATCCACGTTTATTGAGAAGGTAGAAGATGACCTATTGGTTTTTTCTTGTTTTAATTTTAATAAATATATATTTGTTCTTGTTGTAGTGTTCTATCATGTAGTGTATTTGAAGTTGATGATGAACACGAAGTTGTTTCATCAACAACTCAAAATAATGTTAATGGAACACGTGAAAAATCTCATATTGAAACATTCAATTGTTTACGTGGCAATTTTACAGTAGAACAAATCTTTTCTTTTTTGTTGTAAATTAATTTTATATATTTAATAATTTTTCTATTTAAAAGGAATCATTATTACATGGAAAAATTCTTCCTTGTGGTATACTCGATGGTTTTACAGTTAAATTAGGTGCAAATGGATTGTTTATCCCTAAACAAGTTATTTTACCTGTGACAACATTTTGGTTTAATATATCCGAACATCAAGCAGCATCACCTTATCTCGTATGTGAATAAAAATTAGATAAAACAATTCAAAAGAATTATTTTGAAAATTTTTTGTCTTATCTAAAATATCTCTCAAAATTATTCAATCAGGATTATTTTCAATAATTATAAAACCTTATAAGAATCTTAATAGTCATTTATGAAGAGAATTTTATTTCCAAGAAGAGTTTTTCACAAATAAAATCTCTTAAAAAAGCTACAATCCTGCAAATAGAATTCTAGTTGCATCCTCTAGCTCTCTCTCTCGCTCGAAGATATTTTTTGATTGAGATATATCAATCTTACGAAGAACACAAAAATGATGTTTCCATTTGAAATAACAGACAAAAAAAACACGAACTATTTGTTCTATCATTCTGAATAATTAAAATTATGGAAAAAAAAATCTGATCGAATAATTTTATGAACTACTATATCTTTAGTTTTGTTGAAATAATTGATTAGTTAATTGCTATAATATATTTTCAAAGGGTTATATTAATTTACAATGTTTACCAAAACGTGGTTATCATACACCAACAAAAGGAACAATAACATTAGCTTTATTAAATCCAAATGGAATAGCAATTCATTTATTTTTAATAGTATATGATTTAAGTGATATGCCACCTGATCATCGAACATTTATTCGTCAACGAGTTGTTCATATACCTGATGATAAAATATATAAAGAAAATCTCAGATATTTAGCTCATATACGGTATAAATGTTTTTATTAAAAATGATTATTATTATTATTATTATGTTATTTTTATTGTATTTTAGTTTTGTAACATCACAAACTGGAAAACTCTATATGCATTCCGATATACGATTAATATTTGCACGTAATAAACTTGATTATGATGAACGAACAGGAAATGGAAAACCTCAATTAGTGACATCAACAGATATGCCAACACCAAAATATTGGTCACGTAAATAGAGCAAAAAACAACTTTGACTGTGTTAATATTTTGAGTTATTTTTTTGGTCTTCGGTGTTTATATTGAATTATTTTTTTTTTTTTTGGATTCTTTTGTATAATAACATAGTAGAAAACCAATAAAGAGTTTTCTATTTGTTTATCTGAAGATTTTTAACCATTAATCATGAAAATTTATTTTAGAAGATAAGTCTCATTCAGCAGTAATCTATATTCAAGATAGCAAACTGTGATAGAGTAAACCGATGTTGTAGCACTAATTTAACTTCAATTAGTGCTTTAAGTGTGAAACGTTGAATAGAAATTCATTGTTTAATGAGAATTTTTTGCTAAAATAAATTGGTCAAAATCATAGCAGAAAAGATCAATCTTATGAAAAACCAGCGTTTATTCTTTCAAACACATTCTTAATAAGAAAAACAATATTTCAATCACTTTAAAGTAATATCTAACAATATTTTGGCTGAATTGAAAATTTTTTTGGCATAGGTAACCATAGATTGGACTAGGTCAAAGGTCGATAATTCATGGCCAGGCTTCCTTGTGCCCAGACCACGCCATTGAGCCTTCTGATAGTTGTGACGTTAAACTTTTGAAAGAAGGATAGAACGAAAATATTTGCATTAACATGGTTGAGATAAGATGATGTTTGAATCGTAACTTTGCTAAATATGAACTAATGAAGATAAGAAACTACGAATTCACATTTTCGTGAATTCAGATCCAAGTTTCTTTCACAAATGTCTGGCATCTTCTGTACACATGAACAAATGAAGGATCAACGTTTTAGCTATTTATCGACTATTCTCAAACAAAAAAAACACCAAAATCTTCAGCTGTATGGAATAATCTTTGCTGTACTTATGAAGACACGGTCAAGTAAGAATATATTCTACGCAATTAATGTGAAGATTTATTTATAAATCATCTTCTGATACTAATTTACTATCTAGGCATACTCATAGCTGTCAACACAAAAAAAAAACGACAGTTTCCAATGCTCAAACATCTATTAATCAGTTTGATATATCTTCAAGGAATTAACCAATTACTGTACATCGAGTTAAGGTTCCCAATACGTCAAAAATCAATCTCAACAAATGGTAGGACATTTTCAGAATATGTTGAAGCTGTAGTGGATAAGCTATGGTAAAATTTTCAGCCCGATATCATGACGTTTGAGGAAGATATTGATCAAACACGAGTCAACAATCGCTGATTTGGCCAATTAAATTTCTCTGTCTACATTCATTCTAGAGATTTTACTTTTTTTTTGTGTTTGAAAGAGCATGTCAGAATGCAATGCAGTACAGAGCCATTTTTCTTTTTAAATTCTTACTTCTTAAGGGGAGAAAAGGAATCGAAAGTTCAATGACTTAAAAATTGGATGTCAAATTGTATAAGTGTCTGCATATATAACAAGAAAAATAGCTTAATTCAAAATAAGGACTTCGTACGGCACAGCATCTTGATGCGCTTTTTCAGACAAAAAAAAACCTAGGTATATTGAATGAGTATCGATAGAGAAATTTGAATTGTGCGCTCAAGAAACTATAAACAGAGAAAAAACGAAAAAGATGTTCTGTTTTTTCTGAAAACAGTTTATTTTTCGAAAAAAACGAGGTATCGAATAAAAATTTTTGTTGTTTATGAAAGATCAAATAACAGGCTATCCTCCTATGCATTTATCTTAATTTCGATCATTCTAACGAAAAGTGACTTTTTCTGAGGAAGGTAGCGCCTTAAGCAGAAAATAAAAGCTGCTTGTATTGAATTTGCGGTACTTGACTGTCAACCATTCAAAACAATTAATGATATCGGTTTTAAAAATCTAGTACAAAAAAAAGTGTTTTATTTTAGTCTTAATATATATTCAAATGTACTAATCTATATATATAATATTCAGTGTCTGTTTGACGTCTCTGTGCTCAAGTTAAATAAGGCTATAAGTGCTGCCATATTGGGATACCCATAGGTCTTCAAGAATATAAGGTTATAAGGTGTCTCGATATATATAATGCGAACTGTGTGATTGTCTATTACCGAATTAAGGCTAAAAGACAGGTGTGAAACTTTCCAGGAAAAAAGCATTCGTGCAGTATGCACGGACTCTCGTTAGTATAATATACTATTGGTCTATAATTTCAAATGTACTATATATGATGTATGAAAAATTTAAAATGCTTGTATATTTATTCATCTTCACTTTTTACAAAAAAAAAATCTATAATTCAAAAGTATTGATATCAAATTGTACAATGTACAGAAACGAACTTTGGATTAAATTTTTGTTATAGTTGTTTTTTTTCTACAAAAAAAAAGAACCTATCACTTCATTATGCGCACTGGATTTCGTATGAATAGAAAAGAAAGACAAATAATTAACAACAAAAAACCAAGAGAAATATAAAAAGCAACAAAGAAATCTGATGTGATATAAAGAAAATCTAGTTGCAAATAAAATACTATTGCCAATGAGTTCTTGTCGGATGTTGATTATTCGATGAAATCCAATGATTTTGTTTATTTGAAGATGATGTTATCGATTGTATAGTTGATGGACAAATAAATGTAGATGTAGATTGATTTAATGTTTTAAATTTTTGTTTTAATTGTTTATCTTCAAATAAATCTTGATTTTTTCGTTTATTTATTGAAAAATTATTAATTAAATTTAATTTTTGTTCAAATTTATTTTTTTCATTTATTTGATATTCAATTAATGTCATAGTTTTTGATAGAATAATTTCTGTATGATATAAATCTTTCATATTAATAAGTAATGTATCTAATGATAATAAATTTTCTTCATTATAATACATTTGTACAAGTTGTAAATAATCTAATTCATTTGTATGTGGTACACGTGCAAAATTTTTTAATTTTATTTGTAAATTTGGATAAATATTTAATATATTATTTAATGGTATATATGAATGTTGACTTGAACAAACAAATGGTATTAAAAAATTTTTTATATATAATGAACCACCATGTAAAGATAAAACATTTTTATATTGACGATTTATTTTTGATATTGGATTATCTTTTGGTAAAATTTTAACATAAATAATATTTTTTGTACCAATAAGAACATAATAAACATTAATTAATAAAGCATTTTCATGTATTTGTTCATTATTTATTTTACAATCACGTATCATTGTATTAATTAATGTTATATCTATTGATGTAGCATGTATTAATGTTGTTCGTAATTCATTAACTTCAAGAATTTTACATGATACAAGTACTTGATATGGTACAAAACGTTGATGATTTTTTATTATAAATGGTAAATAAACATTATTTATTTGTATCCAACCATTACCATCAATTTTAGCATTATTTAATGATATTGAACAATATTCAGATGGAATAGAAATATTGGATTGATTTGATTTAATTTGTATTTTAGATTCTTCAGTTTTATTTGATTGTGATATAGATGGAATGATAATTGAAGAAGATTTCACCGGATTTATTTTTGATTGTACTAGAGAAGAAATAATAGATTTTGTTAATGATGGTAAATTATATGATGAATGAATAGTTGGTATTGATGGTATTTTTCCATTGATTATAGGATAAAAATTTGAATTTTTATCATATAATTCTTGAAGATGAGATATAAAATCAAGTAAATCTTCATAATTAATTAATTGATCATTTGTTTGTGTAATACGTAAATGAAATCTATCATTAAGATGATAATCAAGAATTCGTCGTATGAGTTCAATTTCATTTGATGTTAAAGAATATGAACGAACTAATGATGAAATACTTGAAAAATAAGGTGATAAATGTTTCCATCGTTCTGATTGATATAAAACTTGTTCAACATAACGTTTAAGTACATAACGATCAAGACCATAATGACCAGGTCTAGAAATAGAATATATTTTATTTTAACTTTTTACAAATTGTTTTAAATTTTTTAATCAAAAAAAGAAAAACTTTTAAATTTCATTAAGACAATTGACCTATAAATTTAATTATTCTAAATATATACGAAATAATTACGATAGATCTTGAAAAAAAAAACAAACATTCATTTTTACTAATAATTTACATACCGAAAAATAACAGCAATAACTTGATTGTCCCATTGTTCCCATGCAAATTGTTTTAGACGACTTGATTCATCAATTGAATTATTTAAATGATGCATTCACCTAATTAAAATCAATATAAAATATGAATAAATTATACTTTACAAACTCACTATTTTATTATGAGTTTCTTGGAATGATTATGATAGATATTGAAGATTCATTTTATTAGTTGATATAAATCGAAGAAGAAAATATATTTGATATCAAATCTTGAACAATAAAGAAAAAAATGAAAAGAATTTCAAATCGTATATTTTGTTTATTTTTTATGACTAGAAAAAAAAATACATGAGAATTTCATGAGTAAATATATTGAACTAATCTGTAAAATGCTTTGAAACAAAAACGAACAATTGATTGTTTTTACCCGTTTGTATCTTATTGGTTTGAAATAACTCTCCAAAATTTTTTATTTTTCAAACATATTAAAGATGTCACTAAAAATCGTCTATCAAGTTTTTCAACAATTGTAACTTTTCAATCAGAAATATTTTGTCTAAATCATTTTTTGAGATACTCTTGTGTTCTACATTACGATTTAATGGAGTTCACTTTATTTAGTGAAAGATACGTTCCTTCTATGAATCAAAACTTGAATCTAACTATGTAGATTCATATCGAGGGTGTCCTCGTTTGCTCAATAATACCTGTGGATGAACAAAAAAAGTTTTATTTTCAAAGAATCAATCAATGAACAAGCATGTGTCTATAGTGAATTACTTGTTTACAAACTGTTATTAAGTACAAAATTTTCTCGGCATTGTCTTCAATAATGATAATTAAAAACATACAACGACTTTATTCTTTTTAACTTTCATCATATTGCTATCGATGATAGCTCAATTAAAACATTCAATAATAATCTTCGAGAAGCTTTTGCAAAGCATAAGTTGTTTTGCAGGAATAATATCCTAACAACTTTAGATATTTCAATTAGTCAACAAAACACTTTTGTACAAACGGACAAGGATTAACAGAAGATCCATACTTATACTCTGATAAGAACTCAGCACTGAATGAATGATAACCGAGAATCTAATTTAGTCTTTTGATTTTTTATTAGCACTAAACAGAGTTGTCTAAATACGCTCTCTAACGATTTAAATAATTTTACTTTTACTGATTCAGTTTTCAGTTGAACTTCAGAAGTAAATCGAAATAATCAGTTGCACTTCCACAAAATATTTAACTAACCGGGATTAACAAAAGCCATAATGTGTAGAGTAATGAATTGAATTATAATAAAGGACAGGGACGTATAAGAACGTAATTTGGCTCATAGCACTTTTCAAACTGAACTCATCATAATCATATATAGGATGCAAGATTTTTTCACGGCAAGTACTTTGATACTCGATTCGAGCTATCCTTCTGGTATATTGAAGGATTGAGGGTGTGAGTGTGGATATCGGTTCCGAGAAGATACATACCCACAGCCCCACACTCACACCTCACACACTGTTCAATACCCATACTAGCTTCCACACCTTACATCCACTCGCATATTCACAGCCCACATCTCCACCCACCCAAATGCATAGTCATAGGAATTCTTTTTTTATGTCACCGTTCCGTTCGCTTCCGAGATTTGAATCGTATAGTGATGTTCAGCAAGAAAATGCAAATTGTAATCATCCGATTGTGAAGATGTCTCGCATCGAATGGGAGTTTACTTATAATTAGAATTGAATCAAAAGCTTATGGAATGTTTCATGTTATCTGATCAATGTAAGTGTGATGCATCACTCAGTACGATTCGCTAATAGTTAGACAAGTCAGTATCATTGTATGGTCACCTGGGTTGGCTCCAGGATGCTGAGTTCCACCGGCCGTTTGAAATTCTAACTTGTTGATGCCAGTCCATTGTAGATTAATGTGCTGCTGTTCTCCATAAAAAAGCGTTGTCGCATGTATATGCATCTGTTCGGGGTTCGTATGTCCTGTAATGATTAGTTTCAAGTTGTCGTTCCAAGCGGCACATGCTTTGAGTGAGATGATATCGAATGTTTTATTTGGATGCTCAGCAGTAATTGATGCAGAAGAACAGTAAGCGACGTACGGACTACCATCCTGCATGAAGACAAGCATGTAGCCACTCTTCGGGCAATCTTTTTTCGCAACTTGCTCGTGAATGCAATAAAAACCGTTCCATTTAAAACTTTTGTAATTCTCAGGAAAATCAGTGCTTTCCACTGAGGCATTAGGAATATCAGCAAATGTGATATCCATTGTCACTGAAACGATATTTATCTCTTACTCATTCTGTTGAATGAAATCGAACGTTTGAGGATGTGGATGTGCATTGTGGGTGAGAAAAAGGTGGACTCCGACTCTCACACACCTACGTATCCTCGTTACTGACTCATTGATGGCTCATCAGTATTGACGGTAAGACAAGGGGGAACAAGCGTACTTCTGTACTTCAGAAGTACAGAAGTACCGAAAAGTATAGAGAAGTACCAAGAAGTACAAAGAACTACAGAGAAGTACGAGGAAGTACGCTTGTTCCCCCTTGCTTTTCTTTCAGAAAAGGGAACAAATACCAGTATATTCTTGGTGTGATTGTTGGTACATGAATCAAGTATTAATAGAATCCTATGATAACCTCTAATACAATCTATACTCGGGATGGCACTTTAGCTATGCTTTAACAGGTAAAGTTAAATTGATTCTTAAAACTTCAAATGTTAAAGTTAAGGAATCCTCAAAAATGTTGTTTTTCAGCATCCAATCTCGATGAAATTTTCAGAGGAGGAGTATCTCGAGTTAGACATCTCAAAGAAAAAATTTCAGTTCGATAAATTGAGTCTACGAAGAGTTAGCTTAAAGCTATTGATCAAAGTATAGATGTTCGTGCGTCCAGAATTTCTCTACCATTTCGAATGCTAGAAAGCTCGGGTTGGTTTTAAAATACAACCAAAATATAACTGAGTGTGGATGTGACTTTTCTTATAACATAACTCCCAACACAGAATCACACCCTCACACCACATCTAGACCCTCATTCTGTGGTGACTACTCAGCTCATTGTAACATAAGTATTGCATGGTCATTTCTACTAAAGTTATTTGGTCTGGAAGCATGTTTTTTCAGGGGAATTCTATGCACGTTAAGTTTCATATAGGCAACAATTAAAAAGAATCATCTCTTCTGTGCAATGATGTTTATCCTCCATGCACAAGGGTAGTGTAGTGCCAACTCTATGAAGTGGGATGACTACTATTGAAATGAAGTATTGTTAACAATAGACAAAACTATGATAGCATATTAATATTCATCTCTGCTCCCTTCATATTTTCAAGGATGACAAACAGCATAAGCAGGAGAGGAAGATAAAAGTGAGTCAGAGCTAGCTATTGGACACAATACACCAGTAGTTCTATAGATAGATTCAAACGGAAGCGAATGAGAAGCACAAACAAAAAGAAAAGAAATGATAAAAGTAGAAAGTGATAAACAACTGACAGATGATCATCTATCATGTAAATCAATGGTATAAACTACGAATAACAGTCTCTCTGACTCTTCGAAATTGATTAGCGATTAATTTACTTCTCAAAAGTTCTTATTAATGAATGACAATCTTCATGAAACTAGGTTATCGAAGAATACATCTTGTTTATTCGGTTTGTTAAGAAATTTATCTGATCTCCGATGTTGTTTGATACAAGTATCAGAACTGCGTAATCTAATTAAACATGTGATCGTCATAATGATTAATTTATTACAATGCTTTGATAAATTACGGAAGTGATCGTTGAGTTCCGTTTTGTAGAAATCATTTTTGTAAAAAGTCACTTTACACTTGGCACTGTACACATTTTGACCCATATGAAAATTGTTTTTCATTATTCATTATTCATAAATCATTAATTATTGTCAAAGTCACGTTCGAGACGTCTTACAGACAGTAAACAATGATTTATAAATTATAATTAATGAATAATTATATATAGTCTTCAAACATGTGCAATGTGCACAATATGAAGTGTAAAATGACTTTTGGGACACCCTGTAATTACAATCAGTTTCACTCTGAATCAATCGAACTATAAAATATGTGGTCGATCTCAAGGTTTATTAGTCATTGTATGGATATTTGTACTATATTACAGACAGACACCTACGTGTGAATTTTCATTTCTAAATCCTATTCTTTTCGTTTACAGAATACTCGAAACATATTTTATTCGGAATCAATTACTTCGAATTATTGATATTTATATGTTAACAAATTAATCAGCGCAAAATGTGTTAGTATTTCTATCAATTTTATTTCGTTGGCTAAACAAAATTAGTAGTGTATATGGTTGGTTTCTACAAATGCTTTCAGCTCACTGTGTTCCAATAGTACTTTAAGTTATAAGTGTTCTTTGATTTCTTCGGATTTCGAGATTGCTTAAGTTCTGACAGTTCTTTTGATTTCTTAGATTCATTGAGTTCCGAGAGTACCTTCGATTCTCTATACGCTCATGATTTATGTCTGGTTATTATTTGATAGATGTGTGGATTCAAAAATCTACAAGGTTTCAGAATTCATGCAGGTCGAGTATATCTCATCTAATAAATATTATTTTTCTTATGAAATATGTAGATTAATATCATAAATTTATATTAATTTAGTAGCTTTTCGTACTCAGTTTCAGTCCAAATTTTTGGAAAACTGTCATGTCCTTTTATAAATACATTCTCTCATCAATTTAGATATCAAGTCACAATTACCAGATGATACAATGACTGGACTCTTGTTTATGAATGATGTAGAACCTTTTTGAATCGAAATATTTCGAGGTTGATCAAGTTTTTCTGTTAATTTTGTTGTAATTTGGTTTGAATCAGTTTCATTAAAGTTATTTTCTTGAAGAATTTCAGGTAATACAATAACTGAAAGTTTATTTATAAATGATGTAGAATCTTGTTGAATCCTAATATTTGATTGTTGATCAAGTTCTTCTGTTAGTTTTGTTAATTTCATTTTGAATCCGTCTAAATCAATTTCATTAAAGTCATTTTCTTGACGATTTTGTTTTAATTGTTCAGTTAATTGAGATAGCTTTTTTTCTATTTCAATAAAATGTTTGTTTTTATGTTCAATTAATGTTTGTCTACATTCTTCTGCTGTTTGTTTAATTTTCTTAATTGAATCTTCCTCCCATTTATCAACTTGCTGTATCAATGGAAATGGTTTTTGAACTTCTTTTCGTTCAACAAGTGCTCGGTGAAACTGATCACGATCATTTTCAATTTCATCGAATTGTTTACCAAGTGTTTGACGATGTTCTTCTAAATGATTGAAACAATAATCTCGTGAACATCCTCCACATTTATACGCGATTTTTTCTTTTCCACATATAGAACATGTTGCTCGACCTTTCACCATTGTCTGTGCCATGTATTGAATATGTTAATGCTAAGAAATGTGTTATTTATGTTTGAAAAGGTGGGACAAGGATGAAAAAAGTGAATATATGATGTAAATGTATGGACACGTGTAATTACAAAATGAGTCAATGTCAATAAACATCAGTAGAAGATATAAGAATTTTAAAAAAGTTTAGTTCTTAGAAGCATATTCGTAGATGGAAGATATGATTTTTTTTAGTATTAAGCTTTCAGTTTTTATACAATGGCAAAATTCTATAGCAAAAACTGTAGATAGATGTCATCGATTGATATCAACGAAACGAATAAGAATTGACAGTACAGATCTGCAAGCACATATTGTTCTTTTCTCTTCTCTTATTGATATTAATTTTCATTAGTTCTGCCCGGTCAAGAATCCAGCTTGGTACTTAAGTGGTTGATTTTTATCGGCCGATGTACAATACAAAATCATTCATATAAACAAAAAAAAAAGTCACACTGTTCTTCAATATGACACTATATTCGGCAAGCAAACAATATCCCAAAAAACCTACTCAGTTGTGGGCTTCATGTTAAATAAGAATGATCCAAATTCAATTTAAAATAGTATAGAAAGCAAAGAATCTCTAAATCAAAAGCATATCAGAAAACCTGCCATTCCGTATACTATAAACACTTTCAAGATATAACATTCGATCGATCTCAAACTTTTACTAGATTCTCCTATATATGTGTTATGACACCGGTATTAGTGCCAATTCAGGAAATGTTTTCTAGGCGATTCTACAGATCTTTGAAGAACCACAGTTTCCAGTAGAAAGTTTTGCTTTAGGTCTTCATATTATACGTTGAAGAAAAATTAAGAGGATATCTAGAATTTTCGCATTAAGCTACGTCAAAGGATATAAAGCTCCAAATATTTAAAAAAGAAATTCTTCGAAAAAATACGGACGGAACTTCCCAAAGTGTTTTTTGCGAAAACAAATTTCTTATTAAAAAAAATCTGTAGTCCTCGGATACGATTTTCTACGTGACATAAGAACATTTTTGAGCAAAAGAAAGTTGCATTTCATGCCACTTAAACGAAAGCTACGTACTGTGCGACATCTGCTTATTATTACGTAAGAAGGCAAGTTGCTGTAACTACTTAGCCAGTAGACTTCGTTGTTTTTGCCACTAACTGAATTATGAAGCTACATCATACACAACTAATATGAGCACCATAATCGACTATGTTATTATTCTGTCTATTATTATCGTTATATTAATTTTTAACATCAGTTTCAACAGTCTGTCAATGCATGTTCATGATCCAGTGAATTTATTGTAGCAAAGCATATTTACGAAGAATATCACTTCGACTGGTTTCAATAGTCTATCGCTTCCTAAAGTATATACTACAATCAAAATATCAGTTAGTGTGTGCTAAAATGCTTGCTGAGCTGATGAGAAACATCTGGTTAATGTGAAGTTTTGAAAGTTTTTTTAGGTGATTGATTCTACGGTTGTTAGATGTAGGCGTGGGCTGATGACATAATAACTCACACCCACATCCCATAATCATCTTCGAGTTCTATGCACAATAATCAAGTATATAGATCCATAAGATTTACTGATCAGACACTACAAACAGGAGTTTAACAATTATTGGGTCCAAAGTGAATGAAATACTTATTTTGACAGACAGTGCGTCAGACCTATTTGATGATCATTCAAAACTCTATTTACTGGTGTGGAACACTGTATTGAGTAATTTAACTTTTTAATGCAATAACAAAATACGTTTTCATGGTTTAACTCAAAATTTGACCAATAATGTATGCCCTTGTAATTCTTCGTGGGTTCGTTGCAGTGGCAAAAAGCCACATTGCTGGAAAGGTCAACTGGAATTCTATGCAAAGATATAAAATATATGTAGTTGTCAAAGAGAATAAATTTTGATTGCAAACACTTCTCTCCCCCGTCAACTAAAACTAATTGACAGAAAATTGAAAGCAGAGTGTGGATATGCAAGGTTCGTCTGACCATGGACATCCACTCTGAGTAAGAGTGACACTTGTTTTTCAAACGTATTTCTTGGGAAAAGGAAGGAAAAGAGAAGAATATTGTTTTTCTGTGAAAATCAGAAGGGAAATGAAAGAACTAGGCTTCTGGTGATCTCGCTAATAGTTTCCCAACACGAAAAAATAGTGTTTTATACTCAACTCAACGTGCTTTTCAATCAGAATGGATCAAAAAAGTTTTTGAAGAAAAATTTTTTTCCCTATGAAAAACTGGTTTTATAGAAAACAAATACCTGAACCTCTCGCTGTCACTATTATATTGATATTCGGAATCAGCATGGTAGATCATCTATAATCCACTAGATTTCGTGAAAAGAGCGATTAGACAGTAAGAGGCTTTCCCTCGTCACCGTTCATCCAGAAAGGATCCCGCCGGATAAGGGTCCAAATCTGTCACCCCATATAAGAAAATTACACTCATGCTTTTCTAAAAGGCTGTATATTAATTAGAATCCTACCAAAGTATGAAGTTCCCTGCCTTAGTCCCATCTCATGAACTATTTTTTATCCTTGCTGTGTCCTATCCTACCTCACGCTGGGAGACTCGTATCCTAGTACTACAATTCACTCTAAAAAAATACGCTCTTTTATCGAGCTTGTGTACAAGGAAAGAATATTTCTGGTTCTGCATGAAACTTCTGTGTGTCTTGTACTTCAATGTACTGATTGTTAAGATTTTTAAAGTTGAGCAGCAGCGTATGAAATCTAAAAAGCCCTTCCTTGGGCACAGGTTGGTAAAAGAACATATTGTTTTAGAGTGTATTGTAGTACTAGGATATGAGTCTCCCAGTATGAGGCAGGATAAGACAGCGCAAGGATAAAAAACAGTTCATGAGATGGGACTAAGGCAGGGAATTTCATACTTTGGTAGGACTCTAAATAACATACAGCCTTTTAGAAAAGCATAAATGTAATTTTGTTGTACGGGTTGGCAGATTTGGACTCTTATCCGGCGGCGTCCTTCAGATACTTTAAACTTAAAATTAATAGACATATTTGTAAATTGTTTATCTAATCTTTATATGATTGACTGATTGTCTGTTCGATTTTATTTTGTGTATTTGAAAAATGAATATTTATTGGATATATTTCAGTAAATTATCAACAAAATGAGGCATCAAATTATTTGTTTTGCTTATTAATATTTGATTCTTTTTTGATTCTTGAGATAACAATGGTTCATCCAGTGTATATTGATGATACTCAAATTCTTCTGATTGAATTCCACCACTATAACATCGATTATTAATAAATTGTGGATAAGGCTTTCTTCCAATATGAAAACAAACTTTGGATATTTCGATCGATCGACATTGAATAAAAGAAAATGAATTGTTATTTGGATCGCCAAGAGCAATGCGAGTATAATCGAGGTCAGCTGGTGAATAACTAATACCAACATGTTTGAACATATGAACATGACTAAATCAAATGAAAACATTAAGAAGAATATGCAAAAAGACAAATATGGAGTGATCCATAAGTAGCTTTCCGATAAAAAATTTCAATATCTCCACTCTGCTTTTATCAATCAGACTCTCACTATTGACTTCAATGAAGAAACGTACTATTAATCCAAAGTATCTTACCTTGGAATCTCAGCCATTCTGAGGATTAGACGTCTGATATTTTTAGCATATATACAACCATAGAAATGTAGGTTAATGATATCAGTCTGACCTTGGTTGTTTCAATTGAAGAGGAGTTTATAATGTACAATAATTCTTCTTACTGTGAGTTCTATAACTTCACAAGAGAAGAAGCTTATGACTCGGCCAACCTATCATTATGTAAAATATTCACAGCTTTTGAACGCTTAGATGAAATTCGATGAAATTTATAGTATAAATAGCCATGTTGAAGGACTACATAATGAGAGGTTGGCCGAGTCATAAACTTCTTCTCTTGTGAAGTCATAGAGCTCACAGTAAGAAGAATTGTTGTAAATTATAACCCCTCTTCAATTGAAACAGTCAAGGTCAGACTGGTCTCATTAACCTACATTTCTATGGTAGTATATATGCTAAAAGTTTCAGACACCTAGCTTTCAGAATGGTTGAGATTGCAAGGTAAGATATTTTGGATTAATAGTATATTTTTTCATTGAAGTCAATAGTGCTAGTTCAAAACAGCATCTATTTAACAGTTTCCTTATGAATAAAAAACTTGAACAGTCCTCTATCACTGAGAAAAAAATCAGTCTGATTGATAAAAATAGAGTGGAGGTATTGAAATTTTTTTTCAGAACGCTACTTATAGATCATGCTGTATACAATATTCGTACTTAACGTAAATATGTTGTGCAAGACTATCTGTCTTACAAATAGTCCAACCACAAAAATGAATACCATCAAATGAACCCGTCTAATAATAATAAGAAAAAACTTAGTTTAAATCAGAAAAAATAATTATTGTCGGCGTCAAAATATAATACACCTCGGCATTTTCGATAGCGATAATATTTTTCCGTCGATCTATGCAAGACTGAGCCTTCTAACTTATTCCATTTGGAGTTATAAGCATTTTGCTCGAAATCTTCAAATCGGTCAACTGATCATTGATCACTCTAAACTGTATGAATTTTGATGTTTTTCGTCTATGCTGAGCTCAATGGTAATATTTGTGTTTAGTTTTGAAACGATCTACCGTTATAAAGACAAGATTTTTAAAATGCTTTATCTAATGTTAAAAGCTTTGTATAGACTGAGTTACAAAAGCCGTGTGATCTAACAACTTACGATCATATTAACATAAACAATAAATACTAACATTGAATTCTGCGTAGATGAAAACATTAAACTCAATACAGTTTAGAGTAACCAGTTGTTCGATTGCTAGATTTCGAGTAAAATACTTAGAACTTTTGAATAGAATAAGCTAGAAGAGTCGATCTTGCATAGATCGAGAAAGAAATGTCATCATTATCGATTCCTTAAAGTAGAAATTATAGTTAGTGAAGAAAATTTTTTGAACATTTCTGATCAAAATCTAAGAGAAAAACTCATGACCTTGACCAACATATAGTTTAAATAATTCAGCAAAAATTCAGGTTTCCCACATTTCTCTTTCGAATTGTAAATATCACAGGTTTCTAGCTGCTTTCGTTCTCGAGATACTTTAAAAGAATCGAGGTACATCATGTTTTGACATCAAGAATAGAATACTTGATAACCTACAGAACATGGTATCATCACTATATAATATTTTACATCCATATAACGAAAACCGAATCGAAATGTATCTTTGTCTCCATCTGTAACATACTACAATAAAAGAAAATACAAATCTATTCTAATGAATATCATTAATAAACAGTTACTTTATAGAATAGTTTATGATTATCATTCATCAATTTTGTCATATAAAGTCCATTCCAAACACGTTTTTTGTCAACTAATATTGTTGCACTATCAAGTTCATATTCATGTTCACCACAAGTTGTATTAAATAAATTCCATACAGTTGGATGTTGTCGACTTTGATAAGAATCAGGAAAAAAAAGAGCACCAAACTTGAGATACATTGGATCGAAAAGAAAAAGATCTATTGGATCTCGTGTGATATATGCATCACAATCAAGAAATAGTACTTCAGCAAAAGTTGCACTAATAATTGCTGCAGGTTTAAAAGGAAAAGATTTCTTCAGTTTGCTTACACCAGGTTTGTAGACATGAGCAGGATCAAGTTGCCAAGTTTCTGTACGAGTTTTACATTGAGCTGTGTCAAAACAACATATACTTAAGTTGAGTTTAGCTGAATTATTAAGCAATTCCATCATTATTGCTTCTGAAATTTGACTGAATGAATACCATATCTAAAAGATGAAATCTGTTTTAGAATTTGTTTGATGGCAGTACTTTCCTCTATTCTTCTGCAATGATTGAGGATAATAATCGAAACCTCATGAAACTATGATTCATACATAAAACTTATAAGTGCAACTGCATTTAGGGTCAACATGTAAAACAGAAAAATTCTGATCACTATCAAATTAAATCATCGAAAACAAAAACATACAAATCATATATATGGTTTAGTTTTTGTGAACTGAGAGTTTAATACACCAAAGCAGTTTATATCAGTCCCTATGTAAAATATTCTATAGAGTGATATTAAGACATGTTAGATATAGGTTTTTAATAATTTTTTGTATTAATTATATAATACCCAAATAGAGTGACATATGAAATTTTGTACTAGTTTTATACAAAAAAAGGAACAAAGTATCCAATTTTTTTTTGTCGACATAAGTCTCTATCATAGCTTTGACAAAAACACGAGTTGTTGCTTATTATTTAAGCAAAATTTCAAGTTTCTGAGACATTTTTGTCAAATATGATCTTTTAGAAGTGTTGAAGTATAGAAAGGTAACAATTCTTTCCTTTGTCTCATACATTTTATGGTCATGTAAAAACTAATATAAACAGAAAAGCAAAGTAATTTATTCCCTTGTTCTATAAACCTAGTAGAAAAATCATCATGTCTGTCTGCGTAAGTGTCATCAAAAACAGTTTCACAGTTGTTCCAATAAATCAAATGCATTAATCATTTACTGTTTTTTTGTGGAATGAACATATATTTTCGAAGACAATATAGTGAGTGTAAGTTTTAAGTTCAAGTTTTGGCAGATCCTCCTTCCGCCTCATCCCATTACAGATCTTAGCAACCAGGATTAAATAATAGATAAATAAATAAACATATATATATTGCTTAATATCTACGAGAAAAAATTAAATAGTTAAGATTATTCTTCTCTAAATTCAAAGTTGCTTTTGATTTCAAAAAGTTAATTTCATTTTTTAATTAACTTTACGTGAATAGTTATAAATTTGTGAATGTGTTTTTTTTTGTTTCTTGATCAAAACCTATGTATAATCTATTTCTTTAGTATAAAGATCGTTCTCAATATTTTGTTACATCAAATATATAAAATTCAATTTGATTATTTATCATATCAAACTTGTGATTTAAGTACTAGATCGATCGTTTATTAATTCTTTAATCATTTTTTAAAACAAATGAAAAAAAAAAACTCTTTTTTTTAATGTATATCTAGATCGAATTATATTTACCTGAATATCTAATTGGGTACCACTATGTTCAATCATTTTTAAATTAACTTTTGCAAATTTTAATTGATGTTGTCCAACAGTCAGAACAATACCTCGACCATGAAAATATTCATTTGGATAAGGTACAATTTGTTCACGAAGTGTTATAAGTAATTTAGATATAGCAGAAAAATCACGTTCTTGTGCTCTATTTAATGGTTTCTCTCTATTACATACACGTGATTCATTATTGTACATCAATGAATAACTTGCTAAATGTTCATTAATTAGTTCATCTTTGAACGATGCATGGATCAAATTTAATGCTGATGAAGTAACACATGAAGACTGAATAAAGTAACTTGGTAGTTTCCATATTATAAAGATAATGAGAAGAAACAAAATTATTGTATGTAAACAACAAGTCACTGTGATAAATTTTGAACGTTTATGTTGCTTTGCCAATAAAAACATAACTATAAATTAGTAAAATAATTTGTTGAAAAATATATTAACAACAAAATCTAATTATAATAAGATTTCAATTCAATAATCTAATATAATTAAGAAAAAAAAATAAATAGAGGATCAATTATATTCTAACAAAAAGAATTATTTTATTTAAAAAAACCCGATTTAATCAATTTGATATTATTATCATCAATAAACTAAAATAAATCAATCTATAATCAACAAACTATCCTCGGATAAATTCTTACCTTAATTATGTACGAAATTTCATTATATAAATTGTAATTTTATTTAAAAATAAATTATGTTAGATAGACTGCGCAAAATTACACTCATAATAAACTACATGCATCATTGACAGCTTAAAATGCACTTTTTACATTTATTTCATATCAACTTGATTAATTTGCTAACGTGATTCAGTTGAATGAATTGCAATCGAAGACAAATGAAACAAGCTAAAATTTATTTGTTGTAAGTGTAAGAAATAATATACAGGGCGTTCCAAAAGTTCGTACGAAAAGTAAATTTGAATATCTCCATTATTTGTCAAGCTTGATCAACTGATTTTTTTTTCAAATGATAGATACTGGTGTGGAGTTTTTTTTTTGATACAGACAAAGTTCACAAATACTGTTCAAAGTTATTAGTTTCAGCTGATGTACAAAAAGTATCTATTTTTCGGTTTCCGAAGGATCTCTAGGCAGCGTTTCTCTTCTAATGCTTTAGTTTCTTGTATTTCATGAGATGTTTAGATCGACCAGATCCTTTGCTATCATTTTCATGCATTTCTTTTGGTATGTCACTACAAAAAGAAGCCTAATGGTGTCCAGTTCTCACGAGTCATCGTTCTGAAACACAAAACGGTTTCATGAATATCGAACTTGACACCATTAGGCTTCTTTTTGTAGTGACATACCAAAATAAATCCATGAAAACGATAGCAAAGGATCTGGTCGATGTAAACATCTCATGAAATACAAGAAACTAAAGCATTAAAAGAGAAACACTGCTTAGCGATTTTTTTGAAAACCGAAAAATGGGTGCTTTTTGTACATCAGCTGAAACTAATAACTTTGAACAGTATTTGTGAACTTTATCTGTATCAAAAAAAAACTCCACACCAGTATCTATCATTTGAAAAAAAAATCAGTTGATTAAGCTTGACAAATAATGGAAATATTCAAATTTACTTTTCGCACGAACTTTTGGAACATTCTATATAGAAGCAAAACGAAAAATGATGTATGGATTTGAAACATCACAATTAAATAAAGTGTTTGATTTCAAAAATATCTGTTATGGTTTCTAACAAAACGATTATTAACAAAATATTATGACTGGGATGGTTTCTTTTTGCTTACGAATTGATGACAGAACGAAAAATAGTATGAAAATGTGCTTCAGATAGGGTATCGTTACAGTCATTTGTTATTGTGCGAATAATGAGTGTAATTTAAAAGGATACGACTCAATATACCTTTAGCGAGGTTGGATTTTAAAGTCAACTAGTTGTCTTTTAAAGGAAACTGAATTCTAAAGTCAGTTCCGACACATATACATATGTGTCAGTCATATTTTATTTTTTTATTTTGCTTTCTCTTTCTACTCGCGCAGCAGCAACACATTATAAAAGTTTAATTAATTAATTAATTTTGTTACTAACCGACGACTATCTGTTTGGTTTTTACAGCACACAGATTAAGAGAAATAGAAAACAGAATTAATACAAGAAAAGAATAAATCATCACTTTTGCATTTTCTTTTAAATGGCAGATAAACAACAAAAATGAAAAGTATATATGAAGACACACTGTGAAAGATACGGTAAAATAATTAAGGCTCAAAACAGATTACATTATGCAGAAAATCGTGAAGCAATTTTGGAAGAAAGAAGTAAAAATCGGCTTGAAATCCTGAATATTATTTACAAAATCGGGATCAAAGACTCAGAAATTATGCCGAAAATGGACAAGTTATTAATGATCGAGTCAATAACCGACATCAAAGAACTTTAGAAAGATATATTAAATCGGCTAGTTTTGGATCTCCAACTTTTGTTTATCTACTTCCCCATTATCTTAGTACTTTGAATATTGAATGTCAGTATTGTGAAGTAATTCATTTTAAAAATGAATTCAATAGTATGCGCTGTTACAATGACAAACTATCTGATCGCTCTCTTCAGAATGGACCTGAAAATTTTCCTATATGAGAGCTATCACAGACTCTGATTTTTTCAAATGGTTTTTAGATATCGGTGATGGGATGATACCTTCACTACCAACATCTAAAACTCAATTTTCAGTTGAAGTTTCAATTTCTTTAATATCTAATGACAGAGTTATCGATATTTTTGATAATAGTTTTTCCTGTACAGATGTTGAAAAATTTTCACGATGTTCAATTCTCTGTTCAAGTAACGAAGATGTCCGATTAATTAATGAACATATATGATAAATTTTTAAAATGTTGAACAAATGAGTTTTTGAGTGATAGACTATGTAAAAAAAATGACGATGTAGACGATCATGATTTACAAGTCAATATTCTGGTAGAATTTCTAAATACTTTGAATCCATCTGGATTATCACTATATAAATTAAATTTAAAAATAAGTTGTATAGTAATGCTTTTGAGAAATCTATTGGTAGACAAAGGATTATACAATGGGACTAGAATAATTGTTAGAGCCTTTCGTCAAAAAGTGCTTCATTTGGAAATTATCACTGGTGCATTTTCTGGAACTATTCATTGTATTCCTAGAATTTCTCTAGATACATCGAATGATCCAGCACTTCCATTCAATTTCATTAGACATCAGTATCCAGTTCGTCTTGCATATGCAATGACAATAAATAAGTCTCAAGGTTATACTTTTGATAAAGTTGGTCTCTATCTTCCAAAACCCTGCTTTTCTCATAGTTAGTTTTATACAGAACGTTCAAGAACAACAGAATCTAATTGTTTAAAAGTTCAAGTAAAAGATACCACTAGACAGGACAAAACGAATAATGGACAAACTGTAATAGACAATGTTGTTTATCGAGAAATCTTTTCATAATTTTTATATGTTTGTTTTTGTGAGTTTATAAGTTTAGTAATTTATTTTTTATATTTAATAAAGCAAATGCTAATCCAAACTTTTTATTAAATCAATTTTTCCTAAAATCTTAAAGTTCGACTCTTCACAGAGGCTTCTAGTTGATGTTATAAAGAACGACGAGAGAAGAAAAAGACAGCTAAACAAAGTTTTTTTTGACTAATCTAATGTATATTTATGATAGATAGATGTTTTATGAGAACATGACTAATGTCAGGTTACGATACAGGATCGTTTCGAATTCAAATTCTCTAAGGATAGGATTTTTATTGAATAACAATAAAATGAAAGATTTTTCAGATTTTAGTGTTATTGAGAACTTTAATTTAGATAAATCTTTGACTTACTTTTTTCTATGATAATTATTCTAAGATAATAAAGAAATCAGAAATACTTAAACTATTTTTTTTCTTCTAGTTTTTTATATATAAGTGTTTAACTGATCAAACAAAGATTTTTTATTTACATGATCATCGATCTAATGTCACAATTGCCATCTGATGCCGTTAAATAAAAATCAAGGTCGAATGATAACATAGTATCAGTGATAGCAATCGCATATTCTCCAACAGCTGTGAATAATAAGGCACAAAAAAACCAATTCACAACATAAAGTTTAGTCATTACAAAAAAAATTAGACACAAATATTAAGAGTAGAAGACGAAACTAGTTTTTTTTTAGCTGGAGTTTTTACTTCGTTTGAATTTGTATAAATAAACATATTTTTAAACTTCTAAAATTTACTCATGTGAACTATACAATTTCTTTTATTCTTGTAGTTCGTTTTTTTGTTGTACCATTTTTGATGGAAACTAAACTTACACTATATGTACAGACAGATATTTTTCAGTATTAAAAAAAATACTAGACAGCAAGATATTGACTGAAGATCTTGAAAATCTTTATTATCAGTATCCAAGATATAATTATCTGTATCACAGATCAGTAAAAAAAGATCATAAAAGACAAGATATCAAACTAAAGATATTGAACATCTGTTACCAAGACCTTTCTAATCTGTACCTAAGATCTAATCACAGATCTTGGTACAAGATAATGTGATTATCTTATATCTAAATTTTCAAGATCTATTCACTTTTCTGTACCTTGTATCTTGGCCAAGATCTTGCTTACAAGATGTTTCACTAGGGTGTCGATTTAAGACAATATTCAAAGTTCAAGTCTTTGATTTTCGGGACCAGAGTCAGCACAAAAGATATTGTCTACTGTTAGAAACTGAAAAAAATGAGTTTCAATGATTGAATCCAGGGGTGTGGGTGTTGGTGTGGGTGTGAGTGTGCGTATGGGTGTGGGTATGGGTGTGAGTGTGGATGTGGGTGTGGATATGGGAGTGGGTGCTCAAGCACTTTGAGGATAAGGAAAACACCCACACGCACACTCCACCCACACCCACACATCCATACCCACACCCAAAACATACAGGTTTTTGTTTTAATTATTTTTTTCTTTTTTTCCCTCTCGTTATTGGATCATACACAGGGGTGGTAAGTCCTCTTATGATCTTTTTATATTATTGTTTTTCTTTTTTCATTTTAGAAAATCAAAATTAAAAATAAGTCGACAAAAATCATGTAAGTTGTTTTTTCTTTTTCCACATATGTTATAGATTATTTTTTTTTCTTTTCAGGTGTCATCATTCAACATCGATCGGTGAATAATTATTTCTTTTTCGTTTTTTCTCCTTTGAGTTGAACATAGGATGAGTCTTAGATAAGTGAGTGTTAGTAGGGTTGAGGGAGGAGAGTGAGTTCTGTCCAATTGAGATCAGGGTTTCGTCTTATAGGAAGGACTTCCGGGTAGACTCTAAAAGCCCGGCCAGGAACTGTTCTGATGTCCGTGGCAGCACGATCGGGTCCCAGGCTCACTGACATATGTAGGTGTGGGTAATTGAAACTTTTTCTTTAACATCCACACCCACACTCATATCCGCACCCACATCCGCACTTCACATCCGCACCCACATCCATACTCCTTATCTGCGCCCACACTGTGTGACACTAGGAGTGCACCAGGGCCAGTAACTGGTCCCAGTCGGACTGGATACTCAGTCCGACTGGACACCCAGTCACGACTGGGTACTTAGTCATTTGACGTTTATTCCGCTAATCGATCAGTACTTGTCTCTTTTCTAAGGGTGTGGGTGTGGGTGTGGGTTTGATGTTGATATCAGCAGTGTTCAGACTTCCGAAAAAGGAAATTTTGGAAGTTTCGGAAATTTCAAGCACTTGTGTTTTAAATTGTTTGGTATTCCCCAAAATTATATAATTTCCGAAATTTCTGAAATTTCCAAAATTCTATACGTAGCGAAATTTCCGAAATTACAGAAATTTCTAAAACTTCTAAAATTTCTAAAAGATTTTCATATGCTCTGCTATGTAGTTATCGAGTTGATGGAAGCTTCGGAAATTTCTGTAATTTCCTTTTTCGGAAATCTGAACATACCTCGTTGATATGGGTGTCGTTATTATCATTCTAACCATTCCCACATCCAAACAGCATCCACTCCCACATCCATCCGAACAACACCCACATCCACACACCAACACCTACACCTTAGCCACACCCACACCATGAAGACATAAAATTTATTTATAGTATTCTAAATTATAACGATTGATATATAGATATATATGATTAGCCAATGGATTCAGTGTTATAGTTTATACCAGTACTTCAACAGCCTAAGAATCTCTGTATAACAATATACTAGAAAAGAACAAAGTACTACTCGACTAATGGACTAAAGATCAAAGGACTCAGTACCCAGTCGGACTGGGTGCCCAGTCGGACCGGATACCCAGTCGAACTGGACACCCACCCCACAACCACCCACACCCTCAAGATGAAGATTGGCACAAGATAGAGAAAAGTGGATAAGTAGTTTTTTTCATTGAAATGGAAAGATTTAAGGAATAAATTTTTTGAAAGTAATTTCTGTATCAACCAATTGTTGATGAACTCGTTGAGTAATGATCTTTTCAAAAGTGATTGCTTCACCGAATTTCAATGTTCTCACTTCGATGTGTCTCTGGAATTCGTTAATCATCATGTTTAAAGATGAAGAGCAAAGTAAAAGATTGTAACCAATCTTCTTCTTCTTCATCTTGCTCAAGATGCCTTCTGCTGTCTTTCCACACGGACATCCACCAGGCCAACGATCACCTCCAGAGCTGTAAGTTCTTCCGTGAGGTGGCGAATCCAAAACATGAAAGAGAAGATGGTCAGCTTTGTCACGCCATTTTAGACCGCACGCAGCATCAAGAGCATCCAAAACAGCTTCAGGTGCATCTCCTCCCGAATCAGCCCTTAATGTTTTCATATATTCAACTGCAGCTTGATGATTCGTAAAGTCACATTGATGAAAGATATAATCTCCTTCTGGTGGGTGATCTCGATAATCAACAATGGCAAATTGGAAGGTACCACTTGCTCTCATTTCTCTCAGTTTCACTTCATTTTCTTTAATAACACGAGTGATTGTGGCTTTCACTTGCTCAATGTATGAACCCATCGATCCTGTAGTATCAATGACGAAACAAACATCAACTCCTTCATAGCTTTCCTCAGTTTGATGTTCATTTTGACATTCAAAAGCATGTAGACCAGGGTGCCATGCGCCCAACGTACAAAAGCCCTTCGATGAATCTTTGATAATCTGGCCTTTATCTCGTTGAACATGTTCACTGCAGAAGAAGTTGCATGAGTCAATCAACTTTCGATCAGCATCATTCACTGGTGGTGACCATTTCATCAGAGACCAATATGCCGAGCATAAGATCTGATCATACTTCTTTGGGCTTGGCTGATCTGGTCCATAATAATACACTTCATTCGAATGCTTAGCTTTTGTTTCTAGTTTGATCTCATAACATTGATTTCCTCCAGGACATTCCACAAGATGAAAGTGACCTCGACCACGACGTTTGCACGATACAGAACAGTTCTCAGGTTGAGATGATTCACCAATCTTATATTTTCGGATGATACTGTCATTCGAATCATTCGGTTGGATCTCGATCTGCTCTGACGGATTAGTACTCGTAAATACATGTTGATCTTTGTTTCGATGTAATGTATGGTGAAAATTGTCATGCCCATATGATTGTCGACAGAAGGCATAACAATCTGGACATCGCTGTTCACACGTATGTTGTCCATTACAGCAATGGTTTTCGTTACTCTGATTATGCGAATAATGTAATGCAGGAATGAGAATTCCACATTTGACTCGAATGGCATTCACTTCAATATGATCATAGAGAAATTCTTCACCCGATTCAGTTCGCCACGTGCATTGTTGAGTTTTATATTCTTGTTTACAAATACCTGGAGTATCACAAATACCAAGACAATAATGGCTCTGATCACAGAGATGTTTCTTCATCGATAGTATTTGTTCTTCTTTGACAAATTGAACTTGTTCTGTTGTCGAATCATGGGAATGATCTATAGTTACACATGCTTTTCCACATGAGAATATACAGGGTTTCCAACACACTGTGCTTGAACATCGATGTTGATCATGTCCTTGGAAATCCAATGAAATCGAACATGGTTCTGGGCAGATGGCACATGTCTTTGGACATTGATGAACACGTTCACACTGATGATGCGGTGGATCTCGATGATCATAAGAAAAATGACATGGATTAGGAGGATCACCTCGAAGTTGACAGATTTGACAAAGCTGTTGACAAACATGACCAGCATCACATTTATGTTCACCTGAATGGCCAGCAGAGAACATACAAGATGTTGGATCATGCCGACCTTCCGTCGGACAGATTTGACAAAAACCAGAACATTTGTGATCAGTTGTACAGTCACAATTACGTTGAGCTTCACGTTCTAATTGAGTGATTTCCATTTCTAAAATAGAATAATCCTTGTCTGTGGTCAGAGTTTGTCCGAGTTCATTTGTCGTTTGTTGAGCATTATGGTATTCTCTTTTGGTCTGTTCTAATGAAGCTTCATAATCTTTAGAATGAAGATGTTGCAATGTTTTTTCAGTTCTAATGAGCAAATTCATTTTTTTCATTAGTTGTTCATAATCGTTTTTGAGACTGGTCACTTGCTGTGTGATTGTCTTCAAACTATTGGACGAAGACTGATAATTCTTGATTAGATTTTCGATTTCAACTAATTCATTGAATCTTTTCACTGATTCCTTGAGTTTCTCTTCAGTATCGATCAAAGCTTGACGGAGTTCATTCCCTATCTGTTGTTTTTCAGTTTGATCTTTGATTTTTTG